GAACGATCTTCGACAATATCACTACGATATTGTTGTCGTCATGGGCTGTTGTTTTTGTTGCACTGTTTGCATAATATTTCCGCGAACGATGCACACAGTGCCACAGTCCTACCGATTGGCTACAACTGACGACTCTCCGTCATCGACGGACATCACTGATGACTACACGGCGCGCGGTTACTTCATAACGATACGCTGGGTTGACAGCTCGATCGTGTGTCTCAGTGCAATGGTGTGCGTGTGTGAGTGTGTGACCGTGAAGAACTGAGAGCGAGCATGCGAGTGCGTGCGTGCATTTGCCGCTTCTACGCGAACGTGATATTATAGTACGAGTGTCGGAGTGTAGTAGTACAACAATAATAATATAATAATAACAACAGTCGTCACGATCCCGGACCAACTATATAGTGATAACGGCTGCGGTGTCGGCACGCAGGCCGGGCCCAGAGCGATGTTTCCCGGCTCGCTTGGCCGCCGCGATGCGTTCCCACCACTTGCACATATTTATCGCCGAGCTTGCCGCTGATAAGTGATAACAGGAGCGGTGATAAGCGGACAATCACACCGCTTATCGGCTATAGCTAACGCTCGACTACCGCTTGCGCCGAGTCCACGTATACACACGGCGCGCATGGGGGTACGAATCTCGACGCTCTAGAGTATAAGTTCACGACAACACGTAACTACGTAAGATAAGTAAGCCGCTGTCACTTGAAGTAGTGACGTTCAATTTCTCGTATCGTGTGTTTATTGGATCTGGTGCGGGGAGTACTAACTCGCCGGCCGGCCGTCATCGTTTACACGCCCTCGTTAGCGTAGACCGTCTTCACTCCGTCTTATTCTCTTCTCTCCACGAGGCGGACGTTTACGTTTTCCGTTTTCCGTCCCTGACCATCCTTCCAAAGTCTGAGCACCAGCAGCAGTGATGAATACCTTGAAGGTCTTCGCCGGAACCACAATGAACACACCAATCACCACTACTGCGACCACCGTCAAATAGTCGCACTGTGTATTATACATTTGTACTCGACCACGTTAACCTTTCTTGCGTACAGGTTTGTGTTTCTATCTTGAATTTACCTAAATATCACTATATTATGAATAATTAGAGAATAATTGTACATATCCATTTATATAGGTTATATAATTTGTACAGTGTCGTAACTATTATATGACTATTTTTGTGGGATGGGTGATATGAATATTTGTCAATGATAGGTAGCAAGAAAAACATATATTTTTAGTATAACCTAACCCGTCAGTTGCCGCGATGTGAGGGCGGCTCTCACCTCGTTAGTATTTTGAGAGCCACTTATTTATTTATTACTTTTTATTACTATTTATTCCTCTGATACTATTTAAACCTTCAATCGACACATGTTTAAATATACTTTTGCAAATATAATAATTTTATAAATAATTCTTGATTAGATATTGATATGCAATGTTGTTAATATCCATAAATTGAGCATTGCATTCACTCAATAGATCAACCAAATACTTTTTCGCAGTTCAGACCTATTTTTAAGGAACACACAACATTCATATGTGTACTGCATAATAATGATCAATTATATGATTATGTTTAAAAAATTATAAATTAATTTTTAGTGGTTAACAATTTATAATCAAGAAAAATTGTAAGAACATTTTTTGTATAAGATTAAACTATAAATAATTTGTAGTTTGTTTCAATATTTTATGTTCATTATATAATAAATAATGATGAAAAAACAGCGAGGTGAGCGCAGCTCTCACTCAATACCAATGACTTTGCAAAGCAATACCAACGACAGGTTAAATAATTAAGCATTTATAACAAAATGTCAAGTGTCCGTAGTTTTTCGATATTAGGGAAAAAAGTCCCCTAAAAGTCTACTACATTATTTTGACAAAAGATATATTGGAGGTACATTTAAGAAAGTTTGAAAAACAAAAAGTGGAAAATCAATAGAACTGTAGCATACACCTGCTTACAGGATAGGATGATGGTTTGGTTGAATACTCAAACCCAAACTGATTGAAATGTGACTGTATTTTGCCGTTTATTAATACTTACACAAAGATGTTGCAACAATTTACAAGTTAAAGTGAATTAGACTACCTACCTAGACGAACAAAGGTTACTGGCTGTTAGAAAATATACGATTGCTCGGATATAGTGTTCATCCAGATGTGTAATCACGTCTGCAGATGCTACTGTATAGTGAAAACCCTCTACTCTACTTGTCTCTACTATTCGTGCCGCCATTCCCACCATCCGTGTGGTTGATAACCCGAATTAGCTATATCTATAGTGTCTGTATGAGTATATGTCCATGGGTTTTGCAGAAATGTTTGTGGCTGGCCAATTTTTTGTTTGATGTGGGGTTTTGCTAATCTCGTAGATTTTCATAGTCATATTGCTCAGATTTTATTAGATCCACGTACTTCTCACTGTATACTTTTTATTACCATTTCATAATTTTGTGCGTTGGCCCTTCTGGCCCATGTGTCCTATGCTAATTGTTGGGAACATTAAATAATAGTTATTGCGTTTCCTGGGACTCGTCAGATCATACCGATATTTTGTGTGAAGTAATATACTAATACAGTAGAACTTCCATATAACGGTCACCGAAGGGACTGTAAATAATGACCGCTATTTAGAGGTGCCTGTCCTACAGAGGTAGAACAACACTAAGATAACACTCAACGGGACCAAAAAAATTGACTGTTACATAGAGGTGACCGTTAACGGAAGTTTTACTGTATATAGTATATTATAGTTATATGTAGGAGCGGAGTAGGGTCTGTCTGAGCTGTCTCAGAACATTGTATGCCAACGTTTTAATGAAGGCTAATCAGATATTCCTATTTTCTTAAAATAAATAGGTCAAAACATTGAATGAGTACTTTTATATTTGAGTAAATACATTTTTCAATTTTTTTTAATCAAACAATCAAAATATTTTTAAAATTATTATATGCCTATATATATATATCTACATAAGTATATTCATATATTTTGTATTATTACTTATATTATGTATTATTACTTATATTATGTAAGTAATTGATTATAATTAATATTATATTTTATATATTTTTTTTTTAATAACTTTTTTGGGGACTTTTTTCTGTTTACCAATTTTTTGCTAATTTATCAATAATTGCATTGATATACAACAATATATGTCATTTATAGATATAGCAGCTAATCCATTAAGTGTAGTAACTAATATAATAAAAAATACATTAATTTCTTGAAAATATTAAATTCAGTTAACTTGAGATAACTAGTGAATTACTGACACATTATTCCATAACTAAGTCTTAAACCACTTAAACTTGAAAATGTACGGTCTGGTGTATTTACTTACCTTCACAATATATTTATAAGCAATTTTATAATCGGACATAAATGCTGTCTAAAAATTAAAATTAAAATTATTTGATGACATTTTGAACTTTACTGGTACCTACCAAATTCTTGTCAATCTCTAACGAGGAAAACTTGATAATTACTTAATACTAATTGTGTTGTTAAAAAATTATGAAGTATGTTTTAAACTAACAATAATTAACTTCATGAAAAAATGGTCTGAGGGGTGATGTATCACTCACACACCCCTCCTCCTAGGTACGCAACTGAATATGTAGTTACCTACCTATTTTTATGATATAAAGTAATAAATATGTAACTATAACTGCCTAAGTAGGTACCTATATTAGTTTCAGCAGATAATATTTAAATTAAATTAAATTAGCTTGTAAGTCCTTAAACCACTTTTACCTAATTCTACCTGATTGCATTTTTAAAAAATTACCAACTACCCCAAATATGTGTACTGGTAGTATTTAATTACTAAGAGGTTTTAAGAGCCTGGTAACTACTAATTACTATCAGTGCCGTAACTAGAAATATTGGATAAGGGGTAGAAGCATATACAATAAGATACTAAATGTATTGCTACATTTAAATATATATATTTACATTATAATATAAAAAATAGTTACAATATATAACATAACAATTCAATAGTACCTACCTATTTATTTTTATTAAAAAATTAAGTTATGTACTTATGTTTAAAATATTGACTAGTTTTGTAGTGGCATTCTTCTTGCAGAATAGTTGTAATAGATATGTCATTATTTATTATATTATTTCCATTTATGAAATACGCTTCATTAATTATACATTTCCTTTCCTACCCACCATAAATAAACATTTGATTACTATTATAATTCAATTTATACTGAAACTAAATTATTTTTAAGCTAACAAGAGAAAATGTTTAATAAAATATAATCATAATACTCTGATTGTTGGATAGTCGGATAAGAAGATATGTATTAATAATTGTTCAACTAATATGTCTGTGTAGATCAATTTTTACTAGGGATCAAAAACGTTTTTAAGAAACGTAACTAAACAAAAAAAATTAACAAATAAAAAACATCTTACCTAAAAGATAACAAAAATCAAAAAAATATAAAAATTAAATGAAAATAAATAATACCTCCAACGATCAAATAAAAAAAAACAATAATAATAATGTTGTTATCGAAAAATTAGTAAACCTGATAAGTGATAACTAATTGTTAAGTAATAGTCAATGCGTAAGAGCAACTTTGATTTTTGGATGTATTTTATATAATTTTATGTTAAACTTCTGGGTTAAAGGTTATTTATATTTTACTTTAGAACTAGTGTTTCAATAAACTTACACTTTTACAATTTAAAGTCATTTTAGTTTTTAATCATATTATAATATTGCATAATGTTTTGAAATAATCATACTCTTGTTCCTTTTTTTTTAGATTGTTTGTAAAGAAACTTGAAAACTTCAATTCAGAATTATACACAATACATCTCTGTTTCTTCTATTGTTACAATCTCATTACTATTATTGTGCACTGTCAATATTCACTTACAATCATCCATCATCAACAGACACATCTCAACCACCAACATTGTGACTACACCAAAATCTAGAGATTATAGCTAGAGTACAATGATTCCGCTATCATCTTCAGCGTCACAGAGGAAATCTAGCGTGGCAGCAAAAATGACAAGTGGTAGCTCCTCCGGCATGCCTTCACCGACCAGCCTCTTAACAAAAATCAAGGGAGCTGTGCGTTCAGTTGTATCCGACTCGAATGCCCGCAACTTGATGGGCTTCCTGGTTCTAAACTTTGTGTTTGCTTTCGTGGAACTCGCATACGGAATGTGGACAAACAGCTTGGGCTTGATATCTGACTCGTTTCACATGTTCTTTGATTGCACTGGCCTAATAGCCGGGCTGGCTGCCCAAGTCGTTAGTCGGTGGCCAGCTGACGATTCGTTCGCCTATGGTTATAAGCGCGCCGAAGTCCTAGCCGGATTCGTCAACGCACTGTTCTTGTTGTTCATAGCGTTTTTCATACTGACGGAAGCCGTGGAACGGGCCATCGAACCGCCTGAGGTGCATCATGACCGCCTGTTCGTTGTCAGCGTTCTGGGGCTACTCGTCAACCTGGTCGGTATATACGTGTTCCAACACGGTGGTAGCCACGGGCACAGCCACGGCGGCTCAGGTGGCGGTCACGGGCATAGCCACGGTGGTGGTCACGGGCACAGTCAGGAAGGCGGTCACGGACACAGCCACGATGGCGGAAACCACGCGCATAAAGACGATCCCTACAACCAGCACAACCAAGTGTCCATATCCATGGGCGGCGGTGGCGGTCACCAGCAGAACAACGCGTCGGTACCACCAGCCGGGACTGGCCAGAGTAGCCACAATCAGAACCATCTGATGAAAGGCGTTCTACTACATATCTTGGCTGACACGCTGGGCAGCGTGGGAGTGGTCATCTCCGCGCTATTGATGCGAGCTTTCGGGTGGATGCGTGCGGACCCCGTGTGCTCGATATTCATAGCCGTGCTCGTGGCAGCCTCCGTGTGGGGCCTGCTTCGTGACTCGGCCCGCGTCCTCATGATGCGCACGCCCGTTGAACTGGATGACGAGCGGCGCTTGTTGGACGCGTGCTACTCCCGACTTCACCGGTACCATCCGGCCGTCATGGGAATCCAGGAGCCGCGGTTCTGGACGTTGTGCGCGGACGCCTACGCGGGCAGCATTAAGATCGAAGTGCGGTCCGGACTTGCCGGGATCGTGGGTGCCGGTCCCGGCCCCATCGATTATGCTGCGTCCTTGTCACAGATGCAAATCTCGGGCCAATCGAGCCTTCAGCCCGCGGACGCCGCCCGGCTGTTGCACGACCGCGACCAATTCGCCAACGGTCTGGTGCGATACGCGCAACAGGTATTCGGCGCTGTCGGTGTCCGAAACTTGTACGTGCAGATTGACTACGCTGGTGACGATACAGTCCACAATCATCCACATCACCACGTCAACGACGTGCAGCGACAAAACAACTATGCGGCAGTCGGCAGCCTGCTTGATCAGCCGCAACAGCAATTCCAAACGCACTATCAACAGCAGCAGCAGCAACAGCAACAGCCACAGTACACCAATCCTCTGTTAATGATGTAATATAATAACCGTTAGCGCCTGCCATCGCCACCGTCCGTGCGAGTCCAAAGGATTACGGCCACCACCAACCTCCAAAAACGGTTTTTGGTGGCAGTTTCAACGACGATGTAAAAAAAAACTCCTTCATTACTACTATTTTATTATATTTATGATACCCATTCTGTACCATTCGTGTGAACGTGTTCCATAAAATATTGTATCGAAAATAAACAAGTTATTTTATTTGTACATTAAACATAAGAATTTATACTTGTTTATTGACTATTATTGCATTGTTTCATATTTTGTTGATAAACTCGGATAATGAAGTGAACAATTAGAAAAACTGTCGATTTTCCAATGAAACAAGAAAACAGTTGAACAATGCGAACACTATTATTTTAAATAATAAATACTTTTTTGTATTAATATATTTAAAAATGTTTGATAGTGTCATTATATATTCTCGTTTTTATTGGGATAAATTATGTTAATGTCAATTAAAAATAATATTTTTGCGAGCTAGGAAATAAATCTCAAATATAGTTTGTTACTAATACAGTAGTACATTAAAACATTATATATAATATCATTGATTTTAAATAGTAATTTATAATTATTGCTTGGAACTTACTGATCTTAAACATACCTGCAAAGCAAATTAAATTTAGAAAAACTGCTATGTATCTAATCAAAAATAATTTAAATTAAATTGTGAAATACTGAAATATAATGTGCAAATACGTCCAGGTTTTCCGTGGCTATACCCGTCGTCCCGATAAAGTGGGACGGGCAATTGTCCGGGAATCAAATTTAAAATATTTAATTATAATTTATGTTAACATACTTGTCTCCACGGACTAAGATAGAGTCGATTTTAGTTGGTGTGTGTCTCTTACTAAACATTTTTAGTAGAAAAACGATATTGTTTTGATAAATGATAAAATTATCAAGTTAATAATTTGACGAAACTGATGAAATATATTTTAAAATCATTTCCCTGACTATTAATGATGAATATATTCGTGTTTTTCTGTTCCCTCACGACAATTTTTATTATTACCTACTGATCGTTAGTTGATAATTTTGTGTGTTATTCGTTTCAATTTGTTATGACGTTGAGATAGTTTTTGCTTTACCAACGAATATTCTTGGCCCTGGAGTGCTGACTATATTGTGTATTGGTGTGTGGTATTCTACTACTACCTATTTTAGTTACAAAAAAATAGTGTGTTGAAATTGGTGGTTGACCGACGACCGTGGAGGAGAGTTACGAATTTTTTCCATACAGATTGTACAAAATTTGTTTGTTTTAGTTTAAGTAAAATCAAATATGGCAACCCTACAACACGTATATCAACTGACAAATGACAATAAACTGGTCTACCCTTATCCCGTAGGCACGTTTGTTAAGAATACTTTTTAAATGTATTCAGAACACATCTTTAAATTCTTGGTGTCGTTTATATTTTAAATACGTATTCTTATACTGTCTTCTAAAAGTATTCAAAATACTTTACAAGTAATTTTTTGTAGTTTATCACAAATACATTATACTTAAAATTATTAACAAATACATTCTTTAATTGGTTCAATAATTTCAAGTGTAATATACCTATTATATTTTCAAGTTAAACTTCAGAGGGGTAGATATGAATTTTAGGTTTTGTATCATTTGGTTATTTAATTAAATCTTAAATATTCTTAACAGCATTATAAAATATTAGTTTAAGACTTATTTTTAAAATTATAATATAGGAAACAAAAATATTGTTCATTGAAATACACGATGGTAAATACAACAGTGTTGGCATTGGTCCAACGAATCTATATAATAAAAATGAAAAGCTGATCGTTAGTCTCTCTAAGGCTCTACATTTATTATAATGCGTATGCTATGCCACCATTTTGCGACTCATTTGTCAATGATAAAATAAGGGGGGGAATTCATATTCACATAACATTATTAGTCGCAAAATGGCATACTTCAATAACATAATATTATAATAATAATAAGTAGTAACACTATCAGTGTTGACAACATCTACAACAAAATACTAGTATTTAGTCTCGCTAAAACTCAAAAACAGCTTGACTGAATTCGCTGAATTTTGTGTGTTTTTTTGTGTGCATTTTTCTGTGTTTGTAATAATTGTCAAGACAAGGTTTGTATAAAAGAAATGTTTAGGAAAATCGAGCAGGAAAGAAAGAAATCTGGATGACAAAAACACAATAGTGGTGCCATCTGTCCAACAAATTAAAATAAAAATCCACAAACTATTTACTGTTGTAACAAATTTGTATACTCATTTGATGACCACAAATGCCAACACTAGACTAAGTTAAGTTGGTGAAAATGGTATTCTTAACGCTAATTTGTCACCAGTTGTCCGCTAAAAGCTGGTGGCGGTTCGGTCGCCCGACCAATGAGAACACTATATAATTTCGGCGGGGATCTTAATATAATGTTATAATTAATAATATACCTATTACCTAGCTATTATATTATAACAGTACCATGTATGTTTATTTAGTGTGTATGCATATCTAGTGCATATACAATGTTTATCGCGTATGCATTCTACCACTGTCTATTCATCCTATCGCCATAAAACTTTCGTGGCGGGCTTTTGGCACCCTAAAGGTTCCTAAATTATTACGAACAAAATCGGACGTAAAAAATGTTATACATAATACATATTATTGTGTATGATTAGATTTTATAATAAGCTTTGCAATCTTCTATATAATATCTTTTATATATTATATAAAAGCAAATGTATGTTCAATACTCCGATCGCCATGAAACTTTGGGATTTAAGGAAGTTAAGAAAATTCTAAAAACACCGTAACTGGTGAGTACAAGCAATCAATGATTATGAAAAATCGTTTTTATTTTATATAATATATAAAATATTTAATTTATCCGGCTCATGAAAGGTATCCTAATCATAAAATATAATTGATATATTAATTGCACAATATTGAATATAGACAATCATTTTTTACATTTAATAGAAATATAACAACATAGTTTTTCTTACATAATATGCATAACTTTTTACGGATTGAATACATTTTTTTTGATTTTTAATTTACATACTTATTAATTGATTTTTATTGATTAATATTTAATAGAACTATATTGCCTTTTTTCTTATAATACATAATATTTCAATTACTTATTAACAAACCTAATATTGGTGAATCATGGATTGTAACTTTTATTAGGTAAGTTACTTATTCTTTAATTAATCTATATTATGAATAACATTAGGTAATACAATTGTATGATTCAAAATAGTATTATGTTGTTATTAGTAATACCTTTGATTTTGTTATAGACAGATATCATGTGCTAGAAAGCCTTTATTATCTAAGCTCTCCAGCATGTGCTATCTGTATATTATTATAAAATCTATGGCAATACTATCATGAATATGATAAAATTATTAAGAAATACAATTTATGTTCAATGATATTACTCATATAATGATAATTTATATTGTGTATAAATTATTAGTATACATTTTTTTTTATTACAAAACATATTAGTCGACAATTATTAAAGAATAACAATAACATAAAAAAAGTACTCATATAATACATTAGGTTTAATGTATTTCAAATAATACTGAAAGGCAAATAAAGTATAAATAGTTTAATACACTGCTGCCGTGCAGAATATTTATATTTATAATGTGATTTAAATTTACATCAATTTACCACTTTTATGAATTATTTATATTTAAATTTGTTATAGGTATTGTTTATTATTAAATACAGAGATAAACTTTTATTGAAAACTTTTAATAAATATATAGGTAGGTATTTAATAATTTTTCTCGTATAATATTATTTTAATTAACAATATTATTAAATTAATGTGGCATTATGCTTAATTTACCAAAAGATAAAATTTATGTGATTTTCAAATATTTATTTTTATCTCATTATATAACATTGATCAACATTATTAAGCTTAACATCAACAATAATTTATTGTTTTAATAGTGCATTGTTTTTACAGTTATTATAAACACTATATCAAATAATATAATATGTTTAAAGTTGTATTATTAACGAATGTGATACGTTCATTCAGTTTACACAATATTATACAATAATATGATAAAATTGAATATCAACATATGGTATGAAAATAATATATCAATTTTAGTAAAATATAAACATAATATCATATTGTTTTCCATATAAAAATTAATATATTTCTGATAATATTAAAAATAATATATTATTAATATTGTAATGAGTAATGTGAAAAAGTAATACACATTACTGCGAGTATATCAGTTAATATATTAAATTTAACAATGTTACATTTATTTGTATCGTGATTGATGACATAAATCAGAAGTTTGTTTTTCTTTGATGTCATTATTAAATAATTACTGCTAAAATGATTTTAGACATGAATAATGATTGGAGAAAATAAAAACAGTTCTTTAAAATACACTATGACAACATACTAAATTTAAGTGCATTGCGCGTTTTTCAATAAAAATAGATGTTTTACCCATAGTAGTAATATATTAAACAATAATAGTATAATAAATAAATAATAATATATAAAAAAAGTAATTGTAATATTTTACATACCAAAGGTAATGGTATACATAAAAATAATACAAATAATAACTAATAAGTAAACAAGAATACATATTGTTACTGGAAATAAATAATACTAATACATAATAAGTAAATAATTAAGTGAGTGAATGATACATGGATATAAAATTACCGCACAACGTTTGTAAGTAATGCACAGGCGATAATGATAAATATATTGTTACTACATGTACATAATGTTATAGCAGTTAATGTAATAATATAAACAGGTACACGCACGAAAATAACCAGATGAGAGTGGCCGTAATACACAATTGATTTGGAAGTTGTGTCTTGTACCTAATACAATAAATTATATAATAAAAAAATAAGTAAAAAAAAAAACAAATACATTTATATATAATAGGCAATAACTACTACCACTAGTGAAAAACGGAGGAAAATACGTTGATTCACAAAGTGGTAGTGGTTAGCAAATTAAGAAAAATTTTATGTACAATATTGAAATAGCAGTTTATTAGACACAATATTATGTATGGTAAATAATATTATTGTATAATAAATTATTTATATTAAATAATTACTATTTTATTATCATTTACAATTTTTTTAAAAGTTATGATATATGCGACCTACGCATGAGCGTGGTTTATTGTCTTTTTTACAATCATTATTATTTAACACTCCCAGTCTGAAATTCAGTTGCGGGCGATAAAATCAAAAATAATTATGCATAAAAATTAATAATATTTAATCGCTATCGCTTCTGATGTATCATATATAATCATTTCGGTGTCACTACCTCTACTTCACTTTTATCCCCAGAGTCCTAGTTTTCATTTTCACTGTTGTCTTGACTCCTTTGTAGATTGCGGGCATTCAACTTACTTAGTGCTACGTCTAACTGTTGCTGCAGGTTTTCCGCATAAGATGACCACCTTGAATCTTCGCATTCCATGTGCCTATGCAACCGGTTCAGCATTTGTTCCTATACAAGTTTAAGAAATGTTATTATAAGTGTAAATTATGAGAAGATCTTCTATTGATTAGAATAGATTCATTTAGAATCTAATGGTATTGTATTGAATTTTGATTATGTACTATGTAATATGCAATCCTCACCATGATACAGACATTGTAACATGTAATTTATAATATCTAATATTTCTAATGTATCCCAAAGTATTGTATATACTGTAAAACATACCGTATCAGTAATGATCTTCTTGTAATGTATTATTTTGGATTCCAGAAGATTGTTTTGAGTGTTTAAATTTTCTATGGTATCACCGTGATCGTTTGATGTCTGCGGGCGCTGATAAAACAGGAAAATTCAAGGTTCTTTATTTGAAATATTACAAAATTGAATACATATTATATTTAAATATCCTAGTACTATGTAGTACACTCATACTCAGATATTTTTTATTAAGTACTTACCACTGCTTTAGCGATACGGCATTGCTCCTCCTCAGAAAGTAGAAACTTGAGCCTCTCAACTTCAGTTCGATGTTGCTCACGCAATTCCTCAATCAATGATGCATCACGCTGAGCGCGACGATGTACTACTTCCACCGCAGCCTCGTGCTCATCTCGTAACACCTTCATAGCGGTCGCATGCTCTACTCGAAGACTTCTTATAATGGTTTCGGCATCATTACATTGATCTTCATTGTGCTTAAGCAAAACCAAAATTTTCGCTTCCAATTCTTTAACCTCTGCTTCGTACTTACTCTGTAGTAATTTTTTTTCCTCATTTAGACCAAGGATTGCGATCTTGTGTTCTTTGACCATATTCTCATTTTTTACACGCATACCACGGACTTCATTTTGGTGCTCAGTACGCATATGATCTTTGAGCTCCCGCATACTTTGCATAGTAGTTTCTTGTCGTTGGCGCAATCCATCATTTTCATTGCGTAATTTTTGGACCAAGGTTTCGTGCTCAGTTTGTAAAGCACCAACCCTAGCCTCGTGATCCGCTCGTAGACTTTGCATGGCGGATCGCTGGACAGTTTCATTTTCTGCACGCACACCTTCAATTACTGTTTCATGCTCAGTCCAGAGATTCTTCATTGAAGTCTCATGTTTCGTGCGCAGGTTCTCGTTCTCCTCGCGTAGACCTCGAATTACAGCCTCGTGGTCTTTGCGAAGATTCTCATTTTCCTCACGTAGCATCCGAATCTCTGCCTCCTGCTCATTGCAAAGTTTAACGTTTTTCTCGTAGAGATTCCGGAGCGCGTTGGCCTCGTTGTCTGAGCAATTTAGATTCTTGTTGTCCTCGCTAGAATCTTGGAGTGCCGTCACATCATCAATGTGTGTCGCTTCCACAACAGCCTTGTGAGCCACTAGCGAACTCTGAGACGTGGTCTGCCGCAGGTTCTCGAGTTCCATGCGCAATGCATTCATCATAGTATCATGCTTGGCCTGCAATGCTGCCAGCTGGACTTCACGTTCCGTGTTCAATGCTTTCACCGCTGCATCGTGCTCCACTCGCAGTCGTTTTGTCACCGCTGTCTCCCGTTCTGCGGTACGCAAACGCTCGGCTACCGAACTATTTTTAGCTCGTAAATTCTCGTTTTCCACACGCAGACGTTTGGTCGTAGTTTCATGTTCTGCACGCAAAACCTTAGACTCTTTGTCATGTTCCGCTCGTAACATTTTCACCGAAGCGTCATACTCTGCACGCAAACGTTTTTCTGCTCCGTCGATCTCAACCTTGAAATCATTATCTCGGCGACTCTGCGGTTGTTTTTCTGTCGCAACCGCTGCCTTTGCTGGTGCACTTGTAGCAGCGATATTGTCGTTGATAGCAGGTGCAGTGATTTGCAGCTGCGATGGCTTATCACGCCGCCGTTGTGGCGGTTGCTGTTGCGGCAGCTGCTTGTCACGCCGTTGTTGGTTTTTCTCCTTTTGCGGTTGCTTCTCTGGTTGATGCTCCTTTTCTTGATTTTGTTGCTTCTCTTGTCGCTGAATCTCTTCTTGTTGTTGTTTTTCATGTCGCTGCTCTTTCTCATGTTGAAGCCGTCGACGTTCAAGTTTAGTTGAAACAGATATAACAATGTTATCCTCCCGCCGTTGATTCTGTTTTTTCTTATTTAAATCACTGCTACTATTGTTAATAACAGTGACAGAATTGGCACCACTGCTGCCGCTAGTCTATAATAAACAACAAAATATATTTCTATAGTAAATATTTTATCTTATTAAAGTGGCAATATTTAGATTTATAATTTAAATATATTTGTTATTTTTCAGCTGTTACCATTGTGAGCAGCACAATTGCATTCGTTGTCATGATTCATGCTACATGAATACTAATAATACTTATTAAATATAAAATTAATAGTTAATTAAATAGAATGAGGACAAAACATAAAATAATAAAATCTGCATGATAGACTTACGAAGAACAGAATAGTTCAATGCATAATTAAATCATAATTAAAAGCAATGATGAATACCTAACCGTACTTAAAGACAATTAAAAAAAAAAATTATTTTTAACAAATGTTTGTGGTTTTTCAAACTGTGTATTAGGTAATTCTTGAAAAATCCATTAGAAAAAAATCAAAGTTTTTAAATATGTATAGGAAATTTGACTTGTAATAATTTGTATAACGTTTTTATAAGATTTTAAGCTGTAATACAATGTGATTGTGTGTATTGTGTATACATGCAATTCAACAAATCAAACATTTTCTAAAAATTATAAATCTAATACCTAATTTAATTCATATTTTGATTAATCCAGAAGAATTATTAAATATTTTCTCCTGATCAATGAATATCATATTAAAATTAAAAAGCATATTTTATATTAAAAATATACATTTTTTAATTTATAATTAGGGAATGAAATAGGGTAAATGTATCAAAATAAATCAATTTATTTGTACACTATACAGTACATATATAAAGTTAAAAAAAAAGCTAATTTATATATTTCATTGCACTAGAATTACCCCACCCAGACTCCTTCTATTTATAATTGATGAAAAGCTATTAAAAAACAAAAATTTGAAGTTCATGATACTATTTTTTTATCAAAATTACAATTCTATTTTATTTAACATTTTTTTTTATTGTAATGTATTTTGAGACTTCAAGCCCATACCAATATATATATTTTTTGGTGGACTAAAATAACAATGAACAATGATTTATAAAAAATGTGTCTCCAAAAATCCAATTTCTACAAACAATATAACAAAATACCCACCAGTTATATAAAATAGTAATTAAATAAATTCGAACATTATTTCTTTAATACAAAAATAAAATATATTAATCAAATTTCTTTTCAGCAGAAATATATGCTTGAATGAGTTATTTTAATGTATTATTTACACCCATATCACCCGTATAATAAATTGTATTCTCACAAAAATAACGAGAAAAAAAGCGTTGAATTTGAATCAATTAATTAAATATTAATATAATGGTTGGTAAATATGTAAAAAATATTTGGTCGAAAATCAAATCATATTATACCAGCACTTTATGCAGCAAATTAGGGAATTCGATTCAATAAGCACTAAAATATTTTACGATCTTTTTAAAAAAAAATAAAAAAATACCGGATATCTAAAAACACAATGGCAAAAAAATTATACCAAGTACCCACCAAATAGCAATTGTTTTCTCGATTTATAAAAATAAATAATTCAAATCTTTGAATAAAAGAAATAAATTGTAGGTAGGATCAAAAATATTTGGGGGATTGAACTATTGAAGCACCTAAAGGATTTGTAAGTATGCTTTTTATAAATATAAAAAAAAAAACGTTTTGAATGTATCAATTAATTGAATATTAACCTAATTACGAAGAAGAATGTATAAAGCCGAAATTAAAATCAAATTATCAACAGCTTAATATACAGATTAGGAATTCGTATTTACGAAAATGTTTTACGACCTCTATAAATACCCAATGTCCACATTTCCAATACAAATTATATCCAGTGTACACCAAATGGCAAATATCAATATTTTAGTTGAATCATAAAAATAAATATAATTCTTAATTCTATAATAATTCAAATATATTAAAATATATTATTCAAATAAAAAACTCGTATTTATTATCAAAAATCGGGTCAAAAATGATATTGTCCGGAACTCCGGATTAATGATTGATTAAAAAGGATCATAATAAAAATATTGTAATACCCCTATCGCCCGTATGATTTACGTGCCGCGAGCAAAATGAAAAAACAGAGATAACAAAAAAAATATTAGTTAAATATGCAAATAAAATTAGTAGGTACCCGAATTGATACAGAAAAAAATTACGGAAAGGTGTTATTTCCTAACAAAAATAAGGAATGTACAAAAATGTACAACGTAATATATATTATAGCTGGGTTAAAAATAAAATCGAAATTTACTCATTACGACCAAATCCGTTCGTATTAATTTATATCCGTCTACACGCTATTGTGTACAAAATAAGCACTTGTTTTAAACCAAACAGGACACGTCATATCATTAAAATAATTTCGTAGAATATTTCTATACCCATACATACACAATATATTATTAGGTACATACTTATAATAATAACTCTAATAAGTCACGTACTGCCGTATTTTACGACATTGATTGTAGGTAGACGACTGGACTTATCAGTGATCCGACCGTGCCACATGTCATATTATAATATACACAATAAGAGTAACATAACATCGTAAAAACTGATCTCAACGAACTACTGAAATAGCAACTACTTAGATTGCACATAAGGTCCCATACGTACATAATAATAATATATTGTATTGTTAGTATGCACTTATGAAAATTAAATTAATACCCATAGAATATACGTTACCATTGTAATCCATTCGCCCTGATCCTCGTCATCGTTGTACGTGGCTGCAGAGTCGTCCACGACCAAGTTTTCTTCGTCGGCGTGTAGGCTGTGCGACGACCAGGACGACGAGCGTCGACGATGGTCGTCGTTTTCAGTGGCAGCTGCGGTCCCTGGCGCCATGTTGTAATCGCCACTGTTGGTCGAACTCTCACCGCCACTACGGGACTGCTCCTGTTGCTGCCGTTGGCGCCGAGCCCGACGGTTCCGCTCGCTGGAACGGTCTGCAACGGCCGTGTGACCGTTGCCAGCGACCACCGCCGCAGTTTCTGATGCCTTGTTGGCACCGCGATGACCGGCGGACGTTGTAGTCGCATTGTCAGTGGCGGAAACGTCAACGTCGGTCTTTTTCTTCTTCTTATCGCCGTTTTTACTGTTCACTGTATTGCCGGAACCGTTCCAACCGGTTTGGCCGGTAGCACCCGCGACCGCTGAGGTGTTGGTGCTAGCGGACGCCTGCAGACGGATACCGACATTTTTGCTGTTGTTGTTTTTCTTCTTTGGTTGGACCGCGGCCGACGTTGATTTTTTTTGCTTGGACGCTGGTGTGAAACCATCACCATCATTTCCGCGCTGGTGTCGCGTTGATCTCCGTCTCCGTTCGGCAGACGACGCCGACGCTGCCCAACGCATCATGTAGAAAAATGCGAAGCTGAACGCCACTGTGACGAGCAGTGCTAGGGCCACTGCCCGCACGCCTGCTGCTTCAGTGGCAGCAGCCGCAGTCTCGACGAAATTGTTCATATTGTATTCGTGCTTAACTGGTAGGGTGCAAAATAAAAACAAAAAATACATTTATTACTATAATGAATTCTAAATCTACAATATCGTTATATATGGTGACGGGTCATCGCAGTAGTTCGCTACTGTCGTTACCACGGCCGACCCTCAAAATACGAGTGGTAGCAGCATGGCAGTCAGGATCATGATGACGATTGTAATATTGGTAGGTGGACAGGTAGGTATTATGGTATTAGTTGGTCTTGAGTAGGTAACAATATAGAAATATCATATAATATAATACAACAATATCGTATGCTCACCAGTGATGGCCGCAGCCCCGACGACGACAACCTTATGATTTATGCCCCGTCTGCTGCAGTGTCCGCCGTGATAATATTATTGTACAGGTAGGCAGGTGAGTAACTGCTGCTGCTACCGCCGCCGCCGCCCCAAAACCCAGACGCGATCAATTCCTGACGGGATCCGGTGGTAAAAGGTGCTGTACTGCTGTGATGTACCGGTCGACGTGCCGGCCGTGGAAATGTGAAACGACGACGATCAACAACGCGCCGCGGCACTACCCCTCGGTCGAACCATACGACGATACAACATTGTCATCAGACCTGCCTATAGCCCTATAGCGTACCGAACACGACGACGACGATACGACTTCCAGAGTGCGTACGGTATGTTCGTCGTGCGTCGTACCGGTAGTGGCGGCCGGTCGGTGGATGTACGCCGCAGGATTCGAACCGTCGTCGCCGTCGGTGCGTTGCCGCGATGGTGACGTGGACACTGCCGGTACTCGGTAGTGGTGGTCGCGGACTCGCGGTCGACGAAATCGTGGTGGTGTCGGCGGCGGCGCTGTTGTCGTTGTCGGCCTATCTGATAGCTCGTGAGATAGTGGCGAACGTCCGTACCACCCCCACGCGTGCGCCTGCGTCACTGCGCGTCGCCGCACCGACCGAAACATGATCACGGACGGACACGTCTGGTTCGCAGCATACGGTAGTCGTAGTTGTATGGGTGAGGGGCTCTATGACAACTCCGATCGTCTACTACCTCCACTACGTAGCCGCCGCCGCCGCATTCCACGACGGCGCCCGCCACAGCCCTCCCCACCATAGTCGTTGAGTGCCGTGCCGCCGACGCTTTGTGACCATAGAACAAATAATACTTTGTGTCGCCTGTGACAATATTAACCTTTCGTGCGTGCAAGTATTGCGACGGCGGCGTAATAATAATAATAATAATAATAATAATAATAATTACAATAATAATTATACTGTATATTATACACGATGATCACTCGCACACGCGCATGTACAGTATTCACTATTCAGTACAGCCAGTACACTCATCGACGCTAAACGTTGAATACTACTTGCTCCCTGCACACGGATCGTGACAAAAACGAAGACTACACGAACGAGCGGACATCGTGGCTTGATGGTTTGGACCATATTCTTATCCCACCCGACTCAAAAAGTGCGTAACGAATCGTTGTGGTGTTCTGTAAGTGCATTATTGTAATATAATTTTGTATTTTTGTTACATCACGTTTTATATTATAGCAGTTGACGGAGATGGCTCTCGCATTTGGCTCCCTATTTCGTGGGCGACTGCTTACACAGTGGTGATGACTGATGACTAAATGCTACTGTGCCGTTACTTCAAGTGCTGAATGCTAAGCGAACATCGACAACCTCAATGTCTATTATGGCCAGTATGATGGTACAACCAAGGCCACTGCTACTGCATTAAAGGCTGTTGACAGAAATTGCAAAGGATACACACAACAATGACTGCTATAGTAAAGTTATTCCGCAAGGAAATGGCCGCTACGTTGATGCTGATGCTGCTTGTCACCACTGCAGCTGCATCTGTATTACCAAGTAATATATATACCTATTTATTTTATTTTATTTTTTTTTTTAAATTGATGCACAGATGTCAATTATTTTGCATTTGTTTTTAAGTAGAAGGTACCTACTATTTATTTTACACTCAAATCATTGATTTATTTAGGTTTTCTCCGAGTCCTTTAACAAACTTAATGCCATTAAAGGTATAAAATATGTTAAACCACTTAGGTACTTATTTATATTTTACTGTATGTTGACATGAGTATTACCCACTCTGAACAAATTTCATAAAAATCATGTCATAATAAAATACTGGTTTACCTATCAAATCAGGCATCAGTCATTAATAATATCTACAACCAGTGGAAGATCCAGGGGGGGGGAGATGGTATTTTCCTCCCAATCGCCATAGTTTCCCTTTGTAGTACACTGTGTTTTGTCAATTTTGTAACAACTTTTTGTACTTTTGCCCCTCCCCCCCCAAATTAAGCCCTGGATCCGCCACTGTCTAAAACTGAGAAAAATCTAGAGTATTCACTTTTCCTCAAAGAAAATAAAAACTACATTTTTTATGTTCTAAATTATAATATTGTTTGTGTTGGATGTAAGAAACCGTCTTAGATTTTAATCTTATCAAATATTGTATCGACTTAATTTGATAACACATAATAATTTCAAGATAATTATTTTATCTGAGAAACTAGAGTTATTTAATTAGGCATACGTTTATCAGTAATACAGGTACCTATACATCATCATGTTCCATGTACTGGAAAGACATTCATAATCCAGTGTTGGGAAATTTTCCATTCAAAAAGTTCCTTGTTCTCATTCTTTTAATTTTTTTTTACGATTTGAGCAGTTGTTAATGTGGATTTTTGCAGACAACTTTATACCAGAAATAATCGGTTATTTTTTATATTCATTACCTTTTCTGTTAATTAATTGAACTCTAATAATAATATAATATATTCTAGAAAATAATATTATCAAAAATAACATGCGTTTAATACTTTCATTTTTTTTTTCTTCATAATTTGAAAAACAGACATTTTTGTTCAGGTTCCTTAAAAATAGGAACACGTTCCTTTCCAACACTGTCATAATCATATTTCTATTTTGTATACAGTGTAAATTCTGATTTATATAGATATACTATACTCCGTTTCACAAGAGAAGGTACACGTTTTTTTCGTCCGTCGATGCACATCTCCCACCAATTTCGCCCGTTCGTTCACTGCCGCCGGGCAGTAAAAAGTGGGGGAAATTTGGCCTCCGCGCTGTTGACGGCGGCAGTCGGATGCGCGACCCGTGTACCTTTTCTCGTGAAATGGAGTATATCTACTTCAGTTAGAATAATATATTTAATACCTACTTAATGTATAATTGATATTATTGCCTCTAAGTACTTTTTAAAAATGAATAAAACAATTTATAACTGTTAATTAGGCATAATTTTGATTATTATAACTATAAAGATTATGTTTTCATCTTATTTTTCTTATATTACCTACTTCAAACAATTCTAATATCTAATAAAATATTTTGTGTTACTTGGAAAAATCAAAATTTTAATATTTTTCAATTTTACCTACATATTACATATTATATATTTATATTCTAGAAATTTGTTATTTATTTGCACTTATTAAAGGTATTGGCATTAAAATCTAAAATAATTAATTATCTACTAGGTATAATGGCCTAAATGTATTTTAGTATTGGTATTTATTTCTAAAAATAAACATCTTGAACTTAACAAGCTGGCCAAACATAACTCTTTAATCTCATTTATTTTTTTTAGTTTGTGGGTAATTAACTTAATGCTTACTCGTTACATCACAGACATTATTACATTAGTATTTGGAATATTATCATTTAGTACATATTTTATATGATGTTGTTCAAATAGTTTTGGATCCATGGATAGGTACTTGTATTTTTACTAGTACATTAAATAACTAAAATTATCGGTAAGAAATCTAGTGTCCATGGATTTCCAACTGTTTTACCCCATCATATAAATAATAAATGTACCAATTATTTGTGCCTAAATTATGTATTTCTTACAATAAACAATTAATTACAGTCGTATAAATAATATTCAATCTGAACTCATACATATTATAAAGTTATTAAAAAATATGTTTTTCCGTGATCAAATGTTATTCTATATCTGATAAAGTTAAGCACTCAATACCAGTCTTTTATAAATTTTTAAAATTATTGATTTTGATAATTTCCATAGTATCTTGTAACAACTTTGTTTAACTTTATTTTTAGGTTTTTAGGCATGAAGTTTGGTAAACATTTTTGATTTCTTACCTAAAGAACTAGATAATCTACAAAGTATTTATTTGTTTAACTTTTTAACTTTTCAAAGTTAACATTAAATGGTTAAATCACAAAAATGTGTAATTGTTATACCAATAGTATAGCTTATAGTGTTCTATAAGATTCCAAAATCAAAGTGATGATAACATTCATTACTTACCTAATGATTATACAACAAAAAATGTATAGTTAGAATTTTGATACAATATTATTATTTTATTTTTCGTTCTCATAATATTTTTATAGGTAGGTACTTAAAATAAAATTATTTTTCAATAATATTGTTTCAGAAATATTTTGATACTAAATTTTATTATAATACCTACTTAGTAACTAGTTTATCATAACTCATAATAATATGTAAAAACTACACATAGTTTCATTCTAATGTCTGCGATGATTGATATGCAATTATTTTGTAAAAGCTATGTATAAATATTATTTATGTTACAACATTTTGTAAGTTAAGATCAGCTCAGAATAGGTTTTCAAAAATGTATGAATTTATACAGAATAATATAATAGACAATTTTAAAATATTAGATATAAGTAATAACTAAACAGTATGCACAATCTTGAGGCAAGGTTCTTTAATAGTTAGACATGTTTGTCAGCCATTCAATACAAGTTGTCATTGGACAGAATTACTTAAAAATCTAATAAAAACCTATAATTTTGGTATATTTATTGACAAGTGTACATATTATAATAATATAATAATGTATTATTATATAATATATTCCCATCTTCATTTTACGGTTGGTCACTCTTGACTGTCGAAGTAAAATTAATTTATGAGTTTATAATTAATTAAGAAATGTAAAATTATAATATTTAATGTTTTTGCTTACATTTTTATTGTGACTAAAAAGTAATAAAAAATAAATATGCAGTTTGAAGTTTGTTATTTTTTCGTTTGTTGGTTTTTTTTACTGGGTTTTTTTTCTGGGTTTTTTACTGGGTTTTTTTTGCTGGGCCCAACCCATTAAAACCCGGTGGGTTTTAATGGTTGGGTCAGTACTTCGAACCCTGCATTAATGCATTAATTACATTCATTAGCTGTCGATTCCTGTTTATGGATGTTTTAGTAATGTTTATCTGACCTTTTGTCTTGTAATACAGGCGAACCGGTGGCGACCGCAGAACAAGGGCCTGCCGGAGAGCAGAAAAAACTTGGAGGGCATATGTCATCTAAGGATCTGTACCTCTCGATGGAGATGGCCGAACAGGAAAAGCTTGAAGACCTCGGTCTCAACGCCGACGATGAGGAGGATAGCGAAAAAGATAGCGGTGAATCGCTGCTGTCCATGACGGGCGGTGGCGACGACGACAATGACATCGACCAGGAGAATCTAACTGAGTTGCTGACTTGCATGTCATGTTCGGGCGAGTTGCCTGCTCAGTGGGACGAGCAAAACTCTAACTTCAACGAGCAGTCTTACTGTTTGTCCGATGGAGGCCAGCCACTGACACAAGACAACGGTAACTTGGATAAAATGGACGAAGAAATAAACTTGTGTTCAGGGGCGGTGCGCGTGAGTATTTAATTTATTATTGATATAATATACCAAACTGTCCTCCAACCCATCCGCCCCTTAAGTCGACATAACTCAGCATATGCCTGCCTAAAGCCGTCTGTTAAATAGTGATTCAAAGGCTCTTATTGCTTCATCGATAAAGGTACAATAACGCAGCCTTCACCACAGAGGAGTCCGCTGTTTTTTCTCAATAGGACCTTTATTGTGACCGATTCATTACTAAATTTGAAATATCTAGTTATAATAATTATTTTACAAGTAAACAATATCAGCATGGGCGTGCTCCTAAGGAGGGGGGGCTTAGGGGGTTCAACCATCGTTCTTAACTGGTTACAATAATACATAGGTGTCAAAAAGAAAAATTTAAAAATTAGCGTGTATTATGCACAAATATGATAATATGCAAATAATTTTAATTCAACTCACCTTATCAATAATAACAATATGCCTAAGTATAATATAAAATATCCTAGGCTGACGAGCTGTTTAAGCTCAAAGTCGTTTTTCGTATAAGTACAATATCATAATTCATTGAATTCAAACTTAAAACCATTCATTACAATGATCCACTTGTAACTTACTGAACAGCAGAGCGCCACCCACTATTTATTGTTGTAATTAAAATTTGATCACACTTACTTTTTCCACTATTGTTTTATATAGTGCTGGAAAGCAAAAGTACGTGAAAACGGTGGCGTCGTGCGCATCAGTCGTGGCTGTATGGGTGGTGGACATGGTAGCGGCCACCGACATTCAACCCGAACCAAAGCAGAACTGCATCCTTGCATGGGTGCTATTAGTAATGATTCGACAACAAAAAACAATGATAGCTCAAAGCAACCTCGGTCCATGGTTTGGACGTCATCGCATACTTATTCATCCGCATCCGCCGGCCAGCCACAACCACCTAGCTATACAATCGAATGTTGTAACGGCCGTGATCGCTGCAACGACGGTCCGTTTCCATTGCTATCGGGCGGTAGCTTTTCAGCTATAGACGACAAAGGTTCTCTGCTCGCGGCTGTGGCTTGGTGGCGATGGTCATCCATCTCCGTGGCGGCGTTACTGATCGTCGTCATTATTGTGGCCATATACACTTTGAGGAAGAGGAAACGGCGAAAGAGAAGTAGTAGAAGGGGCAAACGGCGAAATCGGAGTACTCGCCACGACGACGATGGTAACAGTGATGACAGTGATAAAAAGAGACCCCGGCATTTGTCGCTTTCGTCAATGTCGTCGTCATTGTCATCAGTGGTGTCATCATCATCTTGTTGCGAAGGGAAAAAGAGAGGTAGAAGGAAACAACACACCGTGACCGCTTTAACCATGGTCGACTTGCTCAAGGGCGTCGTGGTAACCAACGAGAACACAGCTGGTGATGAAAATACATACGGCAGTAGCAGCAACCGACCGTCCTACACAACAGAGTACTCACCGGCTGCCATGACCGAGCTGACGGTCAATGATGATGTTTTGCCACCACCATACCAACGACGGAACGACAACCTTCCAAAAGATTTCCAAGAAGATACCAGTGGCAGCGGGTATGGTATGCCCGTGCTAGTTCAACGTACTATGGCCAAGCAGATACAACTTGGGCAACTCGTCGGCAAGGGCCGTTATGGTGAGGTTTGGCGAGCCACTTACTGGAATGGTGGTCACGAGCACGTGGCCGTAAAAATATTCTTATCGAAAGACGAACCATCATGGAAGCGAGAAACAGAAATCTACAGGTTTTTGATCTGTTAATTTTACTATGTATAGAGTATGTCCTGCTGGAAATTCGGTCTGTCAAACCGGTATTAAAAAGAACTCACAGGTATATTTGTGCCATTGACGTGGTTCATTATCTCGTTGCGGGATAACTTTTCGCTGGTATTGACAAACTAATTTCTAACTGATATACACCACCGACTATAACATTAATATTAATTATTTGATTCTTATCAAATTACAGCACAGTCCTGATGAGGCACGACAATATATTAGGGTTTATTGGTTCCGACATCATGACTTCAAGCAACTCATACACACAGTTACTACTCATTACCCACTATCATGAACATGGATCATTATACGATTTTCTGCAGACCCCTGCTGCCGTAGCCGCTGGTGCTACATGCAATGGTTATGACATCGAACGCGACAGACCGCCGCTCACGGTGGACCAAATGTTAAACGTGCTGTACACTGTGGCCTGCGGGTTGAATCACCTGCACAATCAAATCCACGCCACGCAGGTAATATTTATACTAATTTTCTCATTAATATCAATTATTTGCGTTATATCATAAATGTTATAAATTATACATCACGGCACCCCAGTTACACCTTGCTTATTGATTTCACATGAGTACATATTATGACAACCCCTAAACTCCGCAACTGACAGTGGGGAAATATTGTCTTATCTAGATATAGATGTAATGTTTCAACCGGCTTACGTGTACATTAAATATTTGTATTATTTTATGGATAGGGTAAACCAGGAATCGCGCACCGGGACATAAAGAGTAAAAACGTGCTGGTAAAATGCGCAAAGACTGGTGCTTGTTGTGTAGCTGATTTTGGAATGGCCGTCACTAGCCAGGATGCGACTCTCCCAATTCAATTAACGGCAGCCGCGGGTGCTAACCAAAATACGAGAGTGGGCACAAAGCGGTACATGGCGCCTGAGGTTTTGGATGACAGGTGAGATAGTGTTATATCCTGCTGTAGTGGAACTAAATTTTATCAATTCAATAGTTGAAACCGTATCATTTTAATTGCATGTATTTTATTTTCAGTATATCTACTTCGATTGCATTGGCATTGGCTTCTGCGTCCACTACGGCGACGGTGGCATCTTTGACCTCCTCCACTGCTGAATCTATAGCCGCCGCTGATTCTTCTTCACCTGCTTTTCTGTGCTTTAGGGCATATTGCAGATGTGACATGTACTCATACGGACTTGTCATGTGGGAAGTCCTGTCTAGGACGCTCATCGCATCTGACGTTGGACACTTTACGCAACAACCAAATGACAATCAACAACAACCTTTTACAGATAACAGATACAACCCATACGTGTACCGAGCACCGTACCAAGACCGTGGCGTTGGCTGGGACCCTGGATTTGAAGACATGCGCCGTGTCGTATGCTCTGCTGATCCTGAACAGAATCGTCCTGGCATAGCGGCTGAGTGGTGTGTCGACCCGGTACGTTTTGTTTTGTTTTCTTAACATTTGCACCATCTATTTTTGATTAAAATGTGGTCCAAGCTGACTTACTTATTTTCTAGTAATGAATATTGATAAATGGCTTAGTATAATGATTGTTTTCTTTACTGTTGTTTGTTTCATATAGATAATAAAGACTGTAGTGCTGACGATGAAAGAATGCTGGTCAAGCCGTGTTAACACCCGCCTGGAATCGATGCGTGCTAAAAAGACTCTAGCTAAGCTCATTGAGCAATATTCCGCCACAGAGACTGAACGACGGCGTAAATCAGAGCTTGACAATGAAAACTAAGACAACGAATCAGTTGTAATGTTAAATACATAAATGTGAACAATGATTACTATTGACTTGCAGTTATAAATGATAGTGACTGCAAGGAAAACTACTATACTCAAGAAAATATACTGTATTTTCTGTAATCCCTCCTACTCTTGTTCGTTTGTACAATGTTATACTCTTTTCAGAATAAGAAGGAACCAGGCGGCCACGGACATAACCGGTTTTGTTACGTAAATCTGGTGCGTTCTTATTCTGAAAAGAGTATAGTTATGTAAATTTTTTTTAACATTTACATGCTGTTATATAATATTATGTACCATACAATTTTTTAACAATAATAATTATAAAACTACTTAAGTATTTTTTTTTTATTAAGGACATTTTCCTTCAACTACAATTTTATTATTAATCATACATTTTTTAATTTCAAGTATTAATATTTTTAATATTCATTTGGAGACAAATTAATCAAAACCCTAAACCATTAATATAACCCTCAATACAAAAATTAGGTTAACTAATATTTATAAATAAAAATTACTAACAAAATTATAAATTAAAATAGAAAAAACTGAATGTATATATTAATATACTTAATTACAGATTTTAATGAGTATAAATATTAGTGATGCAGTAAAATATTTTTTTATATTAATATTGTTACATATAAATTAATATTGTGATATTTAAAATAAATTAATTTGTGTTATTAACTCTAAATAAAATATTTAATATACTTATTATCTTATATTATACCTACACAATTAAAAAAAAAAAACAATAATAAATGAAATAATATAAGTAATATGAATGATATTGAATAATATTTGGTTACTTATATTTGCAAAATAATTTTTGGTATCTTATTGAATTGTCACATTAATTTACTATCAAATATAAATAAACAGAATATATAAATTCTAACTTATTTATTTTTATATTGTACTTAGTTTCACTAATATCGGAAACTGTGTTCGATGTCATTATGTCAATATCTGTATCACTAATAAATTGTACGTAAATGAAAACATAGTGTCTCTTCATGCACCTTTCGGCTTTCATAAGAGCACAATAATTATGGTGACTGTATACTTTGTTAGTGAAAGGCTAATCAAAAATTAGTAAATTTAAATAAATATATAATTTAATAATTGTTTGAAAGAGGTTATGTCAAATCAACTGTTATATATTATCATCTAACCTAACCAATTCAATCTAACATCAATTTCAATGAAATAATCATTGGTTATAAAGTTATACTAACTATTAAAAATTTCTTTAAATTAAATCTATTATTTCATTATATCACATGGATATTTTTGTGTTCTAAGGAGTAAGGATAGCTATTATTTTCTACTAATAAAAAACATATATTGCCTTTACTTTTTATAAATCTTAAATTAATAGATTTAATTGAAATTTTTACTAAACTTTAGTTAGGTATACAATTATGTAACAATGTCTGAAGTCTCAAAGTATCTATTAACTATTAGATATTTAAATCATATAACAAAGTTCTAAGCATAGTTGTCTAGTATAAATCATAATAAACAACACAACATTTATTTATACATTGTTGGACAACATTTCTTGTTGAGAATAATTGTCTATGGACTTAACAATTATATACCATAGATTCTGAAATAAAGTTTAGATGAAACTAAACAATAAACTTTCATCATAAAACTTAATATCTTGAAGCGATAAAATGTATAAAAACTAACTAAATGTACGTTTGCAACTGCTAATAATTAAAAATGTTATACCTACTAATATTAAACATTCTTTCCTTTTAGTTTTTCTTATTTTTCATAGTACTATAGATAGAAAAATAATATGTTTGTAAATAGATAATCAATGGTTAATGATTTGGTTTTTTTTTAAATCATCACTAGTATAAAGATTTGTGGGAATTTCATTAATAAAGTGCTATTGTCTGTCAATTGTAAATTTAAAAAATGATTCTAAGCACATCAAGTATTCAAATTTAAAATACCATATGCATTAGGTATATTATGTTCTACAGTTCCTAATTTATATTTATTATTATTGATTTCACATCATTTTGCCAAAAATAAGGTTATTGTAACTTGTAAGTTATAATAACATATTACCACAGATTATATTAACCATGTATAATTCGTGGACAGTGATATTACTAAAGAAATTATTAATTATATTTATATGTATGCTTATTTACTGATATAAAATATAATAGTTATTACTATGATAGAAAAATATAATAAATATACATGGGTTCTTTCTCAAGTTACTTAAAACCGTTGTTGATAATCTATTTGGGTTCTCAAAAATATTAGTAGGATTGACGATTGAGACCCCGTTCTGAAATTGATTTTCAGTGAGAGCTCGTTTAGAGTGACTAGTGAGTCACAATAATCAATATTTTGTAGTCCGCTGTCCGATTTAAAATATACAGTGTTGCCACTTTCTGATGGTACAACCAACTTGCAGATATCATAATAAGTTTTTTTTTTTTTCAATTTTTGTTTAAATCGTCAAAAATGTTTCCAAGTAAACCTATGAAAAAACCCGTGGCGTACGGAAGTAAACTAGTGAGAGCCCAAGTAGGGGCTGCTCATGGCGGTCAACCTGATGATTACAAAAAAAAAAAAAAATATGTAATATCCTAAGCATTTTGTAATAAATAAAACAAAATACAGGTAGTAAAATTAAGTCTTAAGATAAATATCGATCAGTAAATAACCTGTAAATATATATCCACGTAAATTATAGAAAGTTCTAGAAACTAGAAAATACTGTAAACGTTTCAGGGGCACTGTATAGTCTATCCTACGAACTTCTATGTTGATGCTAAAAGGCATTGCGAAGTACGAACTATCAGATTTTGTTAGGTTGAATGACTAATTTAACGTAGGTTGTAGGTATGTACTCCACTTTGTGTTAGTTAATCTAATTTTCATAAAATCAGATGATGGAGAGAGGGTCCTCATAGACAAACTAAGCCATAACGTAATAGTCAACAGAATGCGCTATACATATTTTGAAATGTTTTTTCATAAAAATAGATTGAGCCAAATTGAAACCAAATTGTTGTAAAACACCAAATTCTCACAGTTTATGTGAGGGTACCAGGGCCGGCGCAAGGCTTAGGCAAAATATTCCAGAGGACCTGAAAAAAGCTTTTACAATTTACAAATCAACAGTGAAAACCAAAAAGATACATTTTAGTATTTTATTATAAATTCATAAAATTATCTTTGTTGTTGATGTTGCTAATTTTTTTTTGTTTGCTCATCAGTCATCACTATACCTACATTATAATATTATAGTCATCGTCATGTACCTAACTAATATATAAATTTTGTTTTTTTTATGCATAATACAATTTGATGAATAAATATATAAAATAACACCAATTTATAATTCACTTAAAATGTTATTTAATATAAACGTCATAGTTTGATAAAATTTAATTGTTACTTCAATTTAATTTTTCTACTCATTTTGGCTGCAAAATGTTCTATAATGGTTTCGTAATTCACATTCTCAGCACAATTCCTTTTCAAGAGCTAAAGTTGCCAGACCACTTAAGCGGTCTTGTGGCATTGAACTTCTGAGGTAGTTTTTAATGAGCTTAAGTTTTGAGAATCTTCGCTCGACCCCCGCCGAAGTAATGGGAATTGTAAGCATAATTCTAATAAAAGCCACACTTAGGTTTGGAAAAGCTCCATTACATTTGTTTAGTGTTAACAATATTTCGGAAAATCACGAGTTTGTCAAATAAATCACATTCAGAAACATCTTTTTCATCGCCTACTTTTAAAAACGTTGATAGATTCTTCCAATGCCTTCTAATATGCTCTTTTTTAGACGTAATTACATAATAAAACTAATATATTCCTCTCGGAATATAAAAACGCAAGACCTCCATAAACGCGGGGCTCCGCATAAAGCTCGAGGCACTAGGCAGGTGCCTAGTTTGCCCTCCCACTTCCACCGGCCCTGGAAGGTAGGTACACATATTATATGTACCTATAGACTATCAGACTAAGTATACTAGTATACAACTTAGTAATTACATAGAATATATTAGGTATATAAGTAGGTAGGTATAATTATAGAAGCTATTTAGAAATGTCTTGATTTATATAAATTAAATTTACCAAAAAACGAATTAGAAAAGAAATCAATAACCTCTTTAAAGTAGACATAACAAGATGCGTTTTATAGATAATGTAACTTGACCATATTTTTAAGGTACTTATCTTACCAGGAACTATGTTAAAACTTAAAAAATATCAGTTTGTTATTCATCATCTATGTGACTATATACCAAATTATCTATTCGGATAGATTCAATGATTTCATATAAATTACAAATATATAACACAAAAATTATTTCTATACACCATAAAAAGTCCAAAATATTTTGAAATAAGTAACTGTCAGATAATTGTTCCCCTGTGAATTATTAAAACGTATGAAATTGAAATTATTTCAACAACAGTATTATATAATATTAATATGTATTATGCAATTTATGCTGTTTGAAATGAAAACAACTAATGTATTTATAGCAATATAGCAATCAGCGTTCGAGCATTATTAATATACCTAATAATAGTTCCTTAATTAAGAGGATGTCACACAGACATTTGTGGTATCCGTCATACAAGTGCGTAACATAGCAAATTTTACGCTCAACAGATCACGTTTAACTCCGTTAGTTTAAAAATTAGAGTGAATTAACCTCTTATAACATTTAAGGGTGAGATTATTATCTAGGGTATCTCTTAGGTTTATTATATAATATTTAACTAATTTGTTTACTAAAACACTATAACGTTTTCTTCTTGTTTTATTATATTTCTACAAACATAAGACAAATCAAAAAAATCAATTCTATTTATTAAATTGTATAATTTGATTAAATCATTGTCACATTACAGGTAATTAAAATTGTTTAATAAAATACAATTGTGTACAGGTAATAAAAAAATAACATTAATAATACAAATATAAACATTAGCTATACTTTTTTATTATTTGTACAAACTTGACAATTACAATTATTTATTATTATATTGATTTAAAATATTTTATTTTATTAATAATTGCCCGTCTGTCTGAATTTAGCAAGTTAATGAATCTGATCATTTTTTGGGCCAGCTATCAGTGCTAGGTATATTAAAGTTGCATTTTTGAGATGAAATATCAACTTACAATTAATTTTTTAAAAATCCTAATAATATATATAAAAATTATATAATATATAGGTAATTACTAATTTATTAATATTTGTTTATATTTTAAAAGTTAAATTACACAATATTCTATTATTATTATAGATACGTATTCAAATATGTGTATAATTTTTAACAGAATAAAGGCCTGTTGATGAGTATTATGTAGGTATTATTTTGTCGATGTAGCCCCATATATAATGATTAATGATTTATATACAAATTATTTGATTGTTTATTTTCTTTTTAAAATATAAGAGTAAAATGGAGCTTTATTTGTTGATCGTAAATAAAAAATAAAATAATTTCATTATGTACAATATAATTTTAGCTAAAGATTAAACGTTATTTAGGTACCAAAGTCCACGGAAATAAAACAATCGATAAAAAAAACAAATTTCTTGTGACCAATATTATTGATCTTACTAATAAAATAACGATTCTAACTTCTAAGCGGAGAGATGAAAATTACATTGGTTTTACAATAATGTTTGTGTGTGTGTGTGTGTGTGTGTGTGTGCGCGTGTGTTTGACGTCACTATTAGAAACAGAAAAAAATAAAAATGATTAGATTTTCAACTTCAATATATTTTCTGGTTGAAAAGTGGATCTAGTTGGTACTCATAACAGTAAAAAAACTTTTCTTAATAATTTAAAAAAACAAATAAAAAATTAGGAAAAAAACCTGGTTGTTTTTACGCAAAAGCAGTTTTTGACAAACTCGATTTTGTTATAGGTACTCAATTCAAAAACGATTAACCGTAAATACTTAAAATTCTAATCAAATGTTTTGTATTGGCATTATGCCATTATTTATACAATTAATAGTATTTGAAAAACATTTTGAATATTTTTGAACTATTAATAAACAATTTACTATTAATGTTTAGGTTTTTTTTTATAATTGTCGGTAGCAATTTTATGCTGTGTCCAAAATCTTGTCAATCTAATACTAGGGTTTTTATAAATGATGCTTTCATAAATTATATAAAAAGTTGAGAATAATTCCACAAATATTTTTAATGAAGGTCTGAAGTGTTAAGTTTGACAATATTGGATATTCATGGGTAAAATAAAATGATTTATCATCAAACGATTACAGTTTGAACTGTAATTCTTTCTAAAGAATTCTTTGTTGTAATTAAAAAAAATGTATTGATCATAGAAATTTGAAACATTTAACTGTTATTTAAAGTTATTTGTTATACTCAATCAAATTTTGATTTTGGTTATTACTTATTTTCTTGAAATTCATAAATATATATTATTAGTAGGGCAGACTAGGGCTTAAGACTTCAATTATATATTTTATATATTTTACTCTACATATTGATATTGTCAAAATATTAAGATTGAGTGTAAGCTATTACTATAAATTAGTAATATACTTACGACTTACCTAGGTATATTTACATGTTGCAGACTGTCTCCGCTCTGAGCTCATAATCGTTTTTTGTATTCAATGATTTAATGATTATTTAATGTTTTATCATTGAATTAAAATTTAACGATGTCATTACAGTTGATGGTTGCTCAATGACGAAGTAGGTACTTATAACACTAGATATGACGGTACCTATACTGTATGTCTGTATAGAGGAACGGTTACTTACTTTTTCATATTTATATATACTATATAGTATAGGTATACCAGATACCTACCTATAATATATTGGTACTTCGACCGTTCGACATTCATCATATAGGTGAAATTAAATTATTTATTTTCTGGGAGGGACGTGTGCCGGGTAGTCTAAAAAAGTGTATATGCCAAAGTTATTGGCAGCCAAACATTATGCGTGTCTATTATAAAAATTATAATTTTAATATTTTAAATTTTCACTGTTGGTTTTTCTGAAATTAAAATATACGTAGGTACCTATACTTTGTGCCTTTGTGGTATACCAAATGTCCACGTAGGCTACAAGTCACAATCCAAGGTGAAATGACAGCTAGTTCGTTTAAAGTTTTTAACCCTCTATGTTATTTGTTAAATCATTAGCTAGGTAGATATAGGTATATAAATATAATATTATTAATTTAAGTTTATAATCTTGAGTAAGTATTTATATAATATGTGAATTATAATTTATAAATACTAAGTAGGTATTAAATCAATTATATTTCCAATGCAATTTACCTACCTCGACGAACAAAGAAAAATATATTTAGGTAATAGGTACTTTTTATCTATTCAAGAGTACCTATATAATATGGTATATGCAATATATGCTCAATAAAATTAGCTGTAGTTTTTAATTTATTCTTCATCATTTTAAATTGGAAATATTTTTATATATTTGTGTGCACTTGCTTGTGTATAATATTATATTATAACTTATAAGTTTATATAGTATTAGAGTGTTTGAATAGGTAGGTGCCTTCGTTATCTAATTTATTATGTGTAGTCAATAATCGACATTCGACGTTCATATTTATCTTCAAAAATTTAAACAATTGTGTAGACGTGTAGTATTAAGACCTATGTAAAATGTAATTATTTTAATCATGTAGACAATAAGTATAGGTATTAAGCATTCAATATTAATTTATAGTATAGTTATAGGTACCTACATTATTAGTTGTTTTGTTATCTTTATATTTTGGATTAGTTTCAAATAATTTAATGATTACAATATTTGTTAAATGTTATATTTTGTATTAATACTTTCTAAATAAGTATAGTTATAAAACATTATAAATATGTTATATGTAAAAATCATCTAAGCCCTAGTTATTATTAGGTAATAATATATTAATTATATATTAGGTATTATATTTTTATTCGTTTTGATAGGTGGTTCCATTGTTCCAATAATATAGAATATAGTATATACTGTGTAATATTAGTTAGTTTAAATATTTTAATAATGTTTACATTACACTGTTAGTTTACTGTTGACATATTCATCAACTTTTATTATCGTAAGTACTCCGTAGGAAGGTACCAAATACTAATATGTATAAGTAACAGAAAACAGTAACACATGGATAGGTTTTATATTAGGTATTTGACAACTAATAATACATTCATTTACTAGCATAGCTGGTGTCAGTGATAACATAATATTGGCTCAGTTAATTAATTACCCATGTTTCCAATGGAAACTTTCCATATTATGTTCTATTGTTCTCCCTCCCTACCTCCCCTTGGCAAACACTTGACAGATAAATACCTATCATTATATTTAATTTTCCAGTTTACCGCCCTCAATGACTTAACATCTTACATTCTAATAACCAATTGTTAACTAAAAATTATTTTTACTACAGGCCACAAAGTACTATTGTACAATATGTCAGCATCAGACATTCAGACCTAATACAATATAAATGTAAACGTTAAATGGATTGCACTTCTAGACGTAACATAATAATATGACAATAATGATAGACGATAGTATAGTAAACTTATTAACCTTTTCGTATTGTAATAAACCCGTATTTAGTTTGCGAGTTGCCGAGTTCATAATAAGATGTAATAATATAATATTATATTTTGATAATAATATTATTTAAGATAGAAAAGCGAGAAACCCGCAATAATATTATAGACACAAGACATAATAATATAGTAATGCCTACTAATTAATAAATTTGGTTTTTCGAAGGCTGTTGCAGTTACACCGCCGCCGCCACTGCACCAGACTTGTTCACGGCGAGCTAAGTGCATGTGCATCGCCAGTCTCCCCTTCCTACCACCCACTAAGCGACCAACCCGTACAGTCGGCCGCAGCTGTAAGTTGTAACAATAATTATAATGTGGATGGGTACCTCCTAACAATATTATTATAATATTATGTCGCTTAGAACTACAGCGGTGGCGTCCTACGGCCTTGGCCGGGCTACTCGAATATTATTATTGGGTAACTATGTCAACAATTATAATATTTTCAATAAAATAAAATATTAAAGGGTATTCATTGAATATACAGCTCTAGTCGTCGTCAGATGTTTCGTAACGCACATCAAAGCTTTTAAAACGCATTTACACGAGCGTGCGATGCGTATTGCGTGTACGTAATAAGTCTATTTTTTTTCCTACACATACCCGTCGACGACTACGACGACTTACGAGTTACAACACCGCGGTCGGTGCTTTTATTTGTTCACGCGAACGAGCGCGCGCTCGCCCCTGGCACCACCTATTACTGTACGTGTGAGAAAAAAAATATTAGATTAAATTATGTTTTTTTTTTTTTTTTCATTATAGGAAATAGCGTCCGTCCGTCAGCAAACAAATTGCCAACGCTAAATACACTGTTTACCACCGCCTCGGCGCCGACACCGTATCTATAGCTTAGATCATATACAATGGATGGAGCCACAGCTCAATATGTTGATGTACATGTTAGCGACAAGTCGCCAGTTGTCTGTACCTTTCTGCGCATGCGCGAATGCGCGATCGAGACCTGTCGCATATTTTTCCCAATGATATGATAAAATATATGAACTGATAAGATTAAATTATAATTTTGAATTTCGAATTCCAATTTTCCAACAATAATTTTGGAATGACCAGTCATTGACGTTAGTTATTTTAACTCTATTGTTTTATTTTAATTTATAAAATTGTTTTTGGGATAATGGCACCAAAAAAATGTACTATTGCATGTGTATTTTGTTTGAGTACGCAATACAAAAATCCAAGCATCTCTTTACACTCGTAAGTCGTAAACCTTTTCTAAAATACATATTGCATTATTTTATGTTCTTTTAAAATTGTTAATAATATATTTAATCACATGAAATATTTGGTTTTTTTAATTTATATTGATTGTTTAGGTTCCCCAAAGATCAATCCCGGCGATCTTTGTGGCTTACAGCTTGTGGTTTAACTGAAGATGATTATAAGCCTTCTAGAAAACTATGTTCACAACATTTCGACCAAGATTGCTTTAAAACTGGGACTACTTTGAACATTTTAAAACCGAATTCAGTTCCCACAAAGTTTAACAAACATTCAAAAGAATTTTTTATATCAACGTATGTTAAATTATATTATGATATTTAAATAAATATTTTAAAGTAAAATCAATAAGTATAGGAGCTCTCGTAAGAATATGCCAGAGATGTCTTCTCCCGAGGTGATTTATCAAATTGACGATCAGGCTGTTTCAACTGTGAAATTTGAAACCGTTTCAAACTATGAAATAGAAACCGTTTCAAACTGTGAAATTGAAACTGCTTACAACTGTGAAATGGAAACCGCTTACAACTGTGAAATGGAAACCGTTTCAAACTATGAAATGGAAACTGTTTCAAACTATGAAATAGAATCCGTTTCAAACTGTGAAATGGAAACCGCTTACAACTGTGAAACTTCCCAAATGTATGGTACGTCGTAAACAAATTTTTATTGATGTTCAATTTTAATGTAAGATAACTATGTAATATATTCATATACCTTATACTATGTACTAATACTAGTTATAGATATATGAACAAAAAACTGGTTTATTATTTAAAATTACTATATACGATTATATAATTAATATGGTTTAATTTTAGATACTCCTAAACGAAAGCGAAAGCCACGTAAGTATTATGTAGGTGATGTAACTACGCCGGACTTGGCCACTCCAAGGAAAGCCAAACGGAATTTCCTTAAGGCTCAATACAAAATAATTGAACAACGAAACAAAATTAAATATTTAAATTTGAAAGTAAGCAGGCTCCGCAAAAGACTGTCGTCTATGGCTGAATTATTGAATCATTTGAAAAAAAAAAATTTTCTAACTGAACAAGCTCATGACACAATTTTGGTAAATTTAATTTCAATTGATATGAATGTTAATTGCTTATGTTGTGATAAATGGTTTGTCCCTCTATGTATTAATAAATAACATAATTAATTTTTTTGTAATTTGTGAATTAAATAGTTTATTGTTAATGTTGTGATAAATGTTTGTCTATCTATGTATTAATAAATAACATAAATATTTAATTTTTTTGTAATTTGTGAATTAAAATATAGTTTATTGTTTATGCTGTGATAAATGTTTATCCCTCTATGTATTAATAAATAACATAATTAGTTTTTTTGTAATTTGTGAATTAAATAGTTTATTGTTAATGTTGTGATAAATGTTTGTCTATCTATGTATTAATAAATAACATAAATATTTAATTTTTTTGTAATTTGTGAATTAAAATATAGTTTATTGTTTATGCTGTGATAAATGTTTATCCCTCTATGTATTAATAAATAACATAATTAGTTTTTTTGTAATTTGTGAATTAAATAGTTTATTGTTAATGTTGTGATAAATGTTTGTCTATCTATGTATTAATAAATAACATAAATATTTAATTTTTTTGTAATTTGTGAATAAAAAAAATTTTAATTTAATAATTTAATATTATTTGGGACTAAGATTTATATAAATTTTTCTGGGTTATAGAACACAACAAGTAATACAATAAAAGAAGCTCTTGATCGAAGTTTGAAATCTAAAAACTCTAAATTCTCACCAGTTTTGCGTAGTTTTGCATTAACATTGCAATTCTACTCAGCTAAAGCGTATTCGTATGTAAGAAAAACCTTTAATAATCTTTTACCTCACCCTGCAACCTTAAGGAAATGGTATACTGTAGTAAATGGAAATCCTGGGTTTACAGATGAAGCATTCAAGGCTATTGAATTAAGGGTTAAAGATTCTACACAACCGATAGTCTGTAACATTTGTATCGATGAAATGGCAATACGAAAGCAAATTACATATTTAAATGGTAGAGTGTATGGTTGTGTTGACTTGGGAACTAGCGTTGATAAAAATGACCAAGATAATTTTGAAGAAGCTACAAGTGCCTTAGTATTTCTTGCAGTATGCTTAAATGGTCACTGGAAAGTTCCTTTAGGATATTTCTTGATCCATAGTCTTTCTGGTTCTGAAAGAGGAAATTTGTTAAAAAATTGTTTAGAGTTATTTAATGACACTGGGGCAAAATGTCACTCTATAACATTAGATGGAGCATCTTGTAATATGACAATGTGTACCTCATTAGGTGCTAATTTTGATTATTACTCTCCAAATTTTAAACCCTGGATAAAAAACCCAGGTATTCCCAAATGTTCTGAGGTTGACCAACCAATATATATATTTTGGGATGCTGCACATATGATCAAGCTAGTAAGGAATACTTTAGGTGACAAAAAAATCATTGTTGATCAAGAAAATAAAAAAATTAAATGGAGCCATATAGTAGATTTATTAGAAATCCAGAACAGTAAAGGCCTACATTCTGCTAATAAATTAAAAAAAACCCATGTCCGATACCATGAAAATAAAATGAATGTTCGACTTGCAGCTCAAACATTAAGCTCAAGTGTTAGCTCAAGTTTGAAATTCTGTGAACACCTTAATTTACTAAAGGAAACCAATCCAACAGCTATATTTTGTGAAGTTTTCAATGATGCATTTGATATAACGAATTGCCGTAATAAATTAGCAAAAGGAAATTATTACCTTCCAATTAGCAATAAGACATTGCCTCACATAAAACAATTTTTGGATAAATTTAAATCATATGTGGAAAATCTTCGTTATGAAGGAAGTACAAGTCAGCCTGAAGGTGAACTTTTATTAAAAAGTCAACGAAAAACAGGATTTTTAGGATTGATTATATGCATCACTAATTTGATAAATTTGTTTGAGGTGGTCAAGCGTTACGAGATGAGTTACATACTTGGATATAAACTAAGCCAAGACCATTTGGAAGTTTTTTTTAGTGCGATGCGAAGTCGCGGAGGTTACAACAATAATCCAAATTCAGTTCAGTTTAAAACAGCATACAAACGTCTTCTAGTAAGACATGAAATAAAATCATCAGAATATGGAAATTGTTCAGTACTCGATACCTGTAGTATTTTGTTTGTAGGCACTGCAATGAGAAAGGACGCAGATGCAATTTGTGATGTAAATACAGACAACAATGAAAATTTAGCCTTATTTGATGAAGTTGATCACGATTATTATAAGCACCTACCAGTACTGGAAGAATATGTGGTTGATATTATAAAATACACTTCTGGTTTTATTGTTTCTAAAATTAAAAAAAAGAAAAATCTTTGTAAAATATGTGACTTACATTTATCACAAGAAATAGATTTAGATACATCATTATTATTAAAAATAAAATCAAAGGGCAAATTAATAAATTCATCGTCGGATGTAAATAAAATATGTTTGACTGCCGAATACATATTGAGACTTAATACAAGCATTTTACTATCAGATAAAAATATAAAGCAAAAATTATGTGTACAATCATTAAATGAACTTAGTACAGACTCTTCGATATTCAACACACAAACAATGATGGATCATATTCTTACTCAAGACATTTTTGACAACCATAGGATACAATTAATTAAACTTATACTTGAATATTATATAGATTTAAGGATGCACCACTATGTAAAATTACATACGCAACAAATCACAGGGAAAAACATAAGGAGAAATTATACAAAACTAATATTATTTAAAAATCAATAGCTGATAATAATATATCCAATTTTATTATTATTAATTAGGTATTCATTTATTTTAACTAATTTAAAAAGACTGGCAATTTATTTTGAATATTTTTTAATAGTTTAACTATTAACTTTACTACTAATTATTAATTAATAATAAACATTTTAGTTAAATAACTCGAATTTATTGAATTGGTAATAAGTTGAAATCTGTATAATGTAATATGACATAGATTATTATCTTTTGATAAGAAATACGAATAAATGGTTTGAGATAAATATGCGAATAGTAGCTAGAGGCGCATGCGCGATAGAGGTCATATTAATGGCGACTCGTCGCTAACATGTACATCATCGATGTTATATGTAATCTATAGGTCATGGCTCTATCCATTGTATATGATCTAAGATCTATAGATAATAATATCATAGTCCAAGTGGTGGCTGGGCATCGTTAGGCGGAGGTGTTTGCGCGTGCGCGGTGTTCACGACGTATTATCACACGCACACACACGCACACAAATGCACACTCGCACACCGACGGTATCATCAATCGTGTCTGTTTTTCTCCGTAAAAAAAACAAAATATAGCTGGTATTGAAAAAAATATCGTAGAGTCGTCGTGAACGGCCAACGGTTGCGCGCGTTGCTCTCCGCTTTCCAGGTACGGCGGGCGCGCGTTTGATTTGTGCGAGCGAGTAAACCGGACGGTCGTTCAGTTTTAATGGCAGTTGGGTAACCGACAGAGATAAGGCGATTTTTTTTTCCGATCCTCATTTTATTATATTTGAGCCGTCCGCGGAATTCCTCGATTCGGGTGTACGTCACTCGACGGCTAGCCCTTGGAACGCGAGCATCGAAATCGATCGCTGTGCACACGTGATGAATGCAATTGTCGCGGACGGTTCCGAACAGACGACTAATCTGCTGCCACTGTTACCATCGGCTGCAAGACCGAGAAGCCGTGGTCGTCGGCCCACTGGCCGAAATCTAGCAAGTTAGCCACCAACTGGGTGTTATGCATCGCGTCAACGTTGTCGGTAGCGGTGGTGGAAATGGTCGTCGCTCTACCGTGGTTGTTGAAGAATCCGATGTAACGGCGTCAACGACATTTGTGGGAGTAGACGGACGTGATGATGACTTTGCTGTAGACGACGAGGCAACAACTACAACCCTTATTTATGTCAAGAAAGAAAGTATGGAGGACGACGATGAAACTAAACATCAGCTGATTCACTTACAACATCAACAGCAACACGATACTAATGAAATAGAAGATGTGAGTATTGAATGAAATCATGGTAGGTACAAGATGTGATCTATATTTTTTTGCTGATAATTAATCAAGAGAAAATTTCTGGATATATTCTTATTTTAAATAGGTACATCATAATAGAAAAAAACCGTCAATGAACAGTTTTTTTTTGGTAGGTTATATATATAAAAAAAAAATTACATAAATTATGTTTAACGTTTCGAATGCCAAACCATAAATAAACCAAGTCCTAATACATCAATAATATATTAAGCTTTAACAGTTTTTTGGGGAAAAACATTCCAAGTATGTTTTTATGCGTGTATACAAATGTTCTAAATAGTGTCCCTGAAAATATTCAACTTCTCCAGAATTCTTATAATTTTCTAAAATAAGCGATTTTCCATTAGAAAATATGTGTACCTATTATTATCAAATATCAGTACATATGGCACAAAAAATATGTTAGTTGCTCGGTTAGTTGTGTAATGAAATTGATACACACGGCACTCTAAGTGTTAAGCGAGGTGTTAAGCATATTATGAATACACATGTTCTGTACTGTAAACAAATTTATATAAAGTCTTTCATTAATAAATGTCACCAAGACATTTTTTCAACTAGTAACTCTCATCAAAAATGTTTTGTAATTAGTAATTTTAACAAATAAGAGTAATTACCAAGTAGTTTTTTTAAGAATACACACTTTATTCCATTTAGATAAATTGTTTATACACTTAAAAAATAATTATATCTTTATAAAACCAAAAACTTATTTTTCTATCTTTTTATTTTTTAAAAAATAAAATTATAAATATTTAATATTGCTTATCAAAATCAGTGGTGTATCGAGAATCAGTTTATTAGACTTTGTTACTTTATATTTAGAACATTTAAATATTTTTGTTGCCCCACAATCTATCCATAAAAATATCATAAATAAATAACAAAAACAAAGAATAGAAATATAGGTACCTACATAGGCTAAATAATTTTTGGTTTTAGGTCTATGGTAAACACAGACTAAGGGAAAAAAATCTTTGTTTTGTTCAGTAATCATCTGCATCATCTCAAAGTAAAAATAGTACATATTTTGTAAAGCTTTTAAAAAAACCACCCAAATAAAATAAAATAAGGATTTTTAAATTTAATATTTGTCAATAGCATTCATGTAGATTATATGTCAAGCCAAAAAATAAATTAAATGTTTTATTTCCTGAACCCACTATTGTAATTAGTAATTACTAATAATTATATACAGTAGGGTACCTGGTACCCCTGTACTTAGAGATACTTTATACTAGATACTTTTTTTTATATATTTACCAATATACTGTACTAACTAGGTACCACTATTAATTTTTATTTATTTACTTACAGATGTATCGTCGTCACCGCCGGCCTAGATTAACTGCTGCAGCCGCTAAACATCAACAACTCCAGATTCAACACAATCAGCAATTTGATAGCATCACGTCATCATCGGCATCAACCACTACCACCAATCGCCAAGAACGACTTATGCTAGTATCTGTTGATTCTGGTAGTGTTGGAAGCGGCCGACATCGCCAACCATCGTCATCGGTTGCTCAGTTCTGTTGTTCAAGCACCACTGCAGCAGCAGGGATACAACATCAACAGGTAACATTTTTAAGCATAAGTAAATTATTTTTTAAATTATTTTAAATATGCTGAATAATATTACCATTTAAAACAATGGACTTGGAATATTTTTTGAAAAATAGGCGTATTTTTAAATAAGTGATTCAATTATGATATAATTTTACATACCAATTTTACTAGGTGTTTCGTAAAAGAATACTATTATTCACTATGTGTTTCTTGCCAATATATATTCGCATGTAGGTACATTAAATTTTACATTTAAATAATACTTGCGGCTATATTTGAATAATTCATGGTCCATATAAAATCGTTATTGCACTACACTGTTGTGTGGTAATAACAGTGGATCACCGATATCGTGATGCAAATGTAAATATTTTTATAATTTTATTATTGTTATTATGTCGTCTGTGACTGGTTATGTAATAATACTAACTTGTGCCGAGTTTGCTCTGTAATAAATCGGCTGTTTGTTGTCATTTGCGATGTGTACTGATACAATTATTAGACGTGCATCACTCACAAAATCTAGGTACCTAAAAAATTAACTGTTACCGTGCATAATTGTAATAAACTAATTATTAATAACATTACCTTAGTATAAATCACTTATTACGATTACTAAGCTTTAATAAACAGTCCTAAGCACTTACCTATTACCTTTATTGTTTTGTTTTTTTCTTAGCATCAACACCATCATAACCAACAGCAGCAGCAGCAACAAATTCTGCCTTCTACTACCGTTGTAATGATTAAAGAAGAAGATGTCTCAATGTCAGCCGTGGTTGGTGGTGATAGCTTGCATCATCATCATCATCATCATCAACAACACCAGCACCATCATCAACAACAACAGCATAATATGACAGCTGCAGCAGCGGTGACAATCGTCACTAACAATAACAACAACAGCACCAATGCCACTTCCTCGTCACCACCTCCACCACGACGCCTGTGTCTGGTGTGCGGCGATGTTGCATCAGGCTTTCATTATGGTGTAGCATCATGTGAAGCTTGCAAGGCGTTCTTCAAGCGCACCATACAGGGTTTGTACAAGCCCATGTTCTGTATTTTTTAAACCTATTTCCTTATGATGTACCTACATAACACTCTCATCACTCGCATTCAACCGACCCTCCGAATTCCGTGATATTCTTTTACGTTATCATTTCAGCAAAAATTTGTTGTTACTACCATTATCACTACCACCAATTCCCCTGTCATACAAAATTATAGAGTATACAATGCTGTATTGATGTAATAAATTGTATTAGGTATATGTAAATTACATATATACTTAATTTTAATATGAAGGTAACATCGAATATACATGTCCTGCCAGTGGAGATTGTGAAATTAATAAGCGTCGGCGAAAAGCATGTCAGGCATGTCGGATGCAGAAATGTCTGAGGACCGGTATGCTTAAGGAAGGCGTGCGTCTGGATCGGGTGCGCGGTGGCCGTCAAAAGTACCGAAGACAGCCATCAACTCCTATACCTACTGCGGCGATCTCTGTTGCCCAATCAGCACCGCAAACTGTGCATCAGCAACAGCAATCTACCGCAGCGACAACTGTTAATAATTCTATTCACCACCATCATCATCATCATACCCATAACAACAATGCTGCATCGTCTATTCATCATCACCACCATCAACAGCAGTCTTTCAACAATGCTTTCGGCAACAACAAAATTATTACCACCGGAAACTACCATCATCACCATTCATACCACCAACAACAATTAACTTCAGTACCTCGCCAAATGTGTTCAAATGGTAGTAATGGTACAACCGCAGCAGTTTCGGCACACAACAGCCAGCATCATCACCACAGATTGCTTAACAGCAACGGTGGAGGAACTGGTGGTTGGAACAACAATAACGACGATGGCATGTGTATCAAACAAGAGTATGAGCAGCAGTGTTGTTGTAATGATGCTACAACTGCAGTTGATGCAATCAGAGAGTGTGGTAAGTCTTAAAGTCATTATTTTATTAAATTGGTTTTTAAAGGGTTTAAGTAAATTAGCTGTAGAGTTGCTGAATTTAAAATGTTAAATGTTTCAATTATTCATATTATGTAATATTTAATAGCCTGGCAGTTGAATTAAATTGTGATATTTTATGAAAAAGACACCAAACCATAGGCGCACATTGGGTGTGAATTTAGGGGGTGCTGGAATAATTTATGGTTCACAGATTCGTGGGGGGCTTAGCCCTAATCCTAAAATCCTAATATTACTGCATTGCATTAGATTTAATTTGTATAGTGTATACAATAATATCTAAAGTGTAATGTATCAAATAGTCTGTATGATTGTAAAAAAGACGCTAGGTACACCCACATGTGTTGTCTCCGTATTACAAACGTAGGTACAACATAGTCAAAACTGTTTTGCACGGGTATAAAAACCATTCAGGCTGTACTCTAAGCTAAGAAACTAAATGTTCACACTATAAAAATGAGAAAATGTACTGTGTAACATTGTTTTTATATTTCCGATATCAGAACCAAAATAAAAGTTATTTAAGTTTGGTAAGCAAAAAATAATTAATTTTTAATTTTTAAACTGTAAGAACTTTTTTCGTATTTGTGATATCGAAAAATTAAAAACAATGTTGCACAGTCAATGTTCTCCTCTTTCTAGTAGGAACATTAGGTTGTATAACTTGAGCTATAGAGTGAGTGGTTCTTATCCGAGCAAAACCGTTTTTCTATGTTTTACATTTGTAAAACGGAGACCACACAATGCGGGTGTAGCATCCTCTTAATAATAATAATATTTGTCATTCTGAATTTATTCAATTCAGCGTAGCCCGAAGAATAAATAAATATATAAGTAAAAACCAAATAATAACCAAAGTTATAAATAGACCATTTCGTAGCCAACCGTGAACTGTAAGATAATATAATTTTCTATAATAATATGATATAATATGATTGCTGCATACTGTTTAATGTTTTGACAAAAACTGAAACACTGAAACGTGCATTCACACAATACTGTTTTAATCTTGAATTCATAAACAGTTGTCAATATTTGTAATGGAAAGAAAAATTCCGAACCAATAAACCACGATAGTTTAAAAATGATTGGTGAAATACTAAATAAATTGCTAAGCACCCTCAAGCATCCCCCTATGTGCGCCTATGCACCAAACCATCATGACATTGTCTCTGTCTTAAATAGGAAATCTGAATTTAGCAAAACCAATTTTGTGTTATTATAATATTGAATTGACCTAAAATTAAACTTAAAAGTAAGAATATTAACTAAGGTATTTCAAATTATTTTTATTAGTTTTTATCGATATTTAAATTTTAAAGCGAGTTATTAGCGTTATAAAATTTAGTTTTATACATATTCTAGTTATGACTCTTTTAAAATAAAAATATTAATACAATAAGCCTACAAGATGCTCTAGATTATGTTCTCAATTTTAAGTTGGATAATATAAATTCACTTTAATATTAAAGTTAATAACACAAAATAACTTCTGCTGAACTGTCTGAAATTTGGTATGTTGTATAGTGTATATTATAATATATATTAATAAATACTTCCATAAGACATTAAGACGGAGACAACAGATGTAGATTCGGTCCTCTTGAATATTAAAACATCTTATGGAATATTGGAATGTAGTTACAAATATTAATATTTTTCTTTTGATTATTTTACGTCTTTTTTATTAAATTATTTTAATAATAAACTTTGTCCGTTTGGTTTTCTTAGAAAAAATGTTGGAAGCTCTTAGACAATGTGAACCAGAGATGCCAACATTATTAGGTGGCGGGGACGGATTAACTAACGCTGCCGTCACCATGGAGTTTTTTAAACAGTCCTCGACGCTGGGGGTACAACAAGGAACGGTGACTGCGGTAACGATGGCTGGTGGTCTAGTCGAAGATGGTATATCTTCAACGTCTTCGCCATCTTCATCGTCATCGTCCTCATCGTCAGCAACAGCAGCTTCGTCAACAACGGCGGCGGCTACTATGGTGGTGCACACTCTCGCTGAACTATATGACAGAGAGCTGGTGAGCACCATTGGTTGGGCCAAGCAGATACCCGGTTCGTATACAAATTAATTTATACATGCATACGTAGTAATATAATATGTACATTGATAATAGGTATATTATAAGTTACACGTTTATGCATAATATATTGTTAAATTCTCCGATTTTTAATATCTATTTCGTTTAAAATTAATTTATTATAAATTCAATTGTTGTAGATAAATAATTACTTCCCAAGTTTTCTTGTTCATTAATCAAGGTACCTAAGCCATTTCAAGTGCGTAGGTATCCCGTTTTATTACCTTACGAAAATTCCCTTGTTCTATACTAGGGGTTCCGAAACGTTTTTTTGGCCCGCGATGCCCTATTTGAACCAAGGTTTTCTCAGGGCGCCCTTCCCCAAGTCATATCATGACTATATTCATAAGAAATAGAAAAATTATATAAAACAAGTAAAAATTGTAAAGAGTAATATGAAAATATTTATTTAATTTAAATTATACATTTTTATTAACATAATCGTAATTGTCTCCGTGTCCACCGTCGTTGGATTTTCAAATTTATTTTTGGACCATGTAAAAGTTTACGGAAGCGCAGCGTCCCTATAAAGACATTGCGACGCACACTTTGGGAACCGCTAGTCTATACGGCAAATCGTACATAATATTATACACATTAACATTCGTTTATAATATTTATACCGATATGTACGTGATTTAATATCGACAAGATGTATTTTTACCTGTAGGGTTCACTGACCTGTCGCTCAATGACCAGATGCGCCTATTGCAATCGACTTGGGCAGAACTATTGACATTAACCACGGCATTCCGTTCCTTGGAACAGTTTAATGGTCAAAGTGGTGACGGTGTTAGTGACATTAATAGTATTGGCGTTGTCAGTGAAGAATGTAGTGGCAATGGTCTTAGGTTGCGGTATGCTACAGACTATTGGTTGGACGAGAGATTGGCTAGAGAGTGTTGTTCAACGACTAATGGCGCCTCTTCGTCGTCAAATGGTTCAACAACCACCACTACTACGACTAGCGGTACGGGAGTGATAACAACGCCAACTGTGCTGGACATTTACAACTTGGTTAGTATTATGGACCTGTCTTGAGATGTCGGTATAATATAAATGTATTATGAGCCCATAATGTTTTCTTTTCTTTAAAAATCCTTAAAATAATTGTCTACGATATTAAAATAAAAAATATAGTTCGTATAAATTATAAGTAGCATGCACCTAGATTCCTTGCAGAGGAAAATTAAGGAACCATAGATATGATTTTGGGTATAGTATAGTGGAAAAATATTTAGTAGCATGCTACATTTTGTTGGGAATTAAATAAAATAAAATGTTTTTATTGTTGATTTGTGTTTCTATGGCAATGTTCAAATCGTTACGAAAATCGGCCTCGCGAAAAATAGCGAGAAGAAAAAAAAAGTTGTAAAAAATTATAGATTAAAATCTATGTTAAAATTTAATAGTATATTAGAAAAACGTACTTGTCTCATTTTAAGTAATATAATTTTTAAGTAAGTATTTTGGATTTGGTGGGGGGGGCATATACATTTTATTTACTTTTAACCAGATTTTCGCCTCTGTGTATACCCAAAAACCAATAATAAGATAAAAAAAGAAGTGGGTACACCAGCAGCATTGACAATACATAAAACTTAGCATGCTATTTGATATTTTTCCCCTGCCAGGAAAATCAATGAATCATTAATATGTTTGGGGGGAAGGGTTACCATGGCAATAATAATAAATGTTACGTTAATACGCGTTACTTTAAACTGGTCAAAATACAAAAGTTCTATATCTAGCCCAAAAACATATTTATGTTAATATCTTAAATGTTTATATTTAAAAGAAATTGTTCACTCCTATTTCATTAAAATATACAGTTTATTCGTAAAATCTTCCGGTTGTCCGTAATTGAGAGATAAGTAGATAACTCTAATAGGCATTTAAAAATACGATTTAATAGTCCATTATTTTTACATCCTTAATATAATATATTATAAGCTTATTTTAGCTTTATTGTATCTATAAAACTAATACTTATTTACATAATAAACCGACCAATTAACCTTTTTGCTGCATAAACTACTTATCATTGTTTATCATATATCACTTATCACTAATAGAAACGGATTATAAATAAAACTGTATCACGTTTTTCCATATATTTATCTCAAAAAACATAAAAAGTAACACGTCAGAATTTGGGAAACATTTTATGAGGTCACTTTGTTATTGTATATTTGTACCGATACATTTTTATAGATACATTTACAGAATGTCTATACAATTCATGAAAGTTATGTAGAGGAATACCAAAAACGGGAAAGTAAAATATAGTAAAATAATAAGGGGGAACAATAATTCGTAGGAATATATTACAAGGGAAAACATTTACCGGGAAATTATAAATCAGGAAAATAAAATTTGTGAAATTATTTTATAGGAATTTAAAATCCAGGAAATTAAAAAAAAAGTAAAATAATTTATAGGAATTTTAAAATCAGAAAAATATTTATTCTCGAAAATAATACACGGGAATTTCAACGAGAAAATATTCTACATAGGAAAGCATTATTCCTGAATATTACTTTCCCATGTAAATATTTCCTAATATTTAAGTTCCCGTCAATTATTTTCTTGTGTAATATATTCATATATGAATGAATCATCTCTGCAAAATATCCATATAGACGTAATTACTTAAATGGAATAAAGCCAATATTTTGTTTGTTTAATTTAAGAGCGTAAAATAACAATAACAAAAAAAAACTTATTTTAAATTATACAATTATAATATAGTATAGTTTTGAATAATGTGAATAATATAATATTAATAATATCTGATAATGGTTTCTGTGTTGCTTTAGTCGGCTCATATAGTTCGACAATTTAAGGCAATAAATGGCGGTGAAGGCTTAACTTCAGATCAGTACTATCTGCTCAAGGCGTTAGTCTTAGCTAATTCAGATGATCTAACATTAGCATCGTCATCGGCAACGACAGCGACATCCACTGGAAAGAACCTTAGTACCAACAGATCGGTGTCTAAAGGCGACGAAGTGGTGGTCCAGCAGCAGTCAGCTGTCAAGCAGTTTCGTGCCACCATTGCTCGTGCTCTTCAAACCCATCTGGAGATGACTGTGGCGGTGGCGGCAACATCAAATTGTTGTTGTTGTGATGGTGGTACTAATTGTTGTCCTACGCCAGCCATGACTATGGATTGTTGTGGCAACAGTGGAACCACCACTACAGACAGTAGTGGAATGACTACCAATAATTGCTGTAGCTGTTGCTGCAACACTAACAGCAATAACAATACTGCCCCAAATCAGCTCGACAATGGTGGCGAAATCGTTGTCGTTGTTGACAATCACCAACAGCAGCATCAGTCACAACAGCGCATGGATACCACTGGCGGCGGTGCAACCATATCCACTACAGAAGCTTCTGCGGCTACAGTAGTTGTCGTTGGGTTAGTAAAGCTATCAAAGTTGAATATTTTTTTTACTATTTACTTATTCTAATTACTACTTACATTTATGAACAGGACCACCAACAATGTAGTGATGGACGATGACGATTGTTGTGGGGGTACTCCATTAGTTGACAACCAACAACACCATCATCACCATTCTCATCACTCAGAATCTACAGACTCTGCTTCGTCTAAACTCGTACAATTGCTTATGTGTTTGCCCGCGCTTCGGCAGGCCGATCAACTAATCCGGCAGTACTGGACCCGGGTTCACCGGGAAAATCAGCAGCAATTAGCTGCCGCTACACAAGTACCTCAACCACAGAACCCAGTCGCTTCGGGTGCTGGAGTAGGTTTTATTAGGCAATCTACAGCTGCTGACCGATCGTCATCTATAGGTAATGGAAACAGTGGCTTTGGTACGACCGTTGTCAAAATGAACAAGCTCTTCGTCGAAATGCTGGAGGCCTGTCTGCGGTAATTACGTCGTCATATTGCTCATAAGTATTCTGGGTGGTGTTGCGGCATTAATAGCAGCAGTAGACATCACAGACTTTTAAACTACTTAAGATATAATAAAAACTCGTGTAATCAAATGAGTCATTGTGACACATTATTTTAATTGGAAAATGAATATGGAAATAGATTGATCAATCATTCTATTGATAGATAGTTATTGATATTGTATAATACATAATAGTATATAATTTATATATTGATATTTATTTTTACTACCAGACATGGAATATAAACATCAACTGATTATAATATGCATAACATTCCGGGTTATTTATCTAGTTTAGTATGGAAGTCTGTGGGTAGTGTTTAATAGTTTTACAATAGTTGTAGTGTTTTGTTTTGTTTTAATTTTTTTTTTATCAATAGTCATAGTGGCGGCAACACTAAATGTTGATATGAGCGTTTATATATTTCCAATAAATAATAAATTTGCTTTCGCCATATATCTTTATTTTTGTTAGAATTTTTGTGACACTTACGTTTCTTTTTTCATAATTATTTACCATAATACCCTCCTCTCATAAACATACCCAAATTATTGTTGTATGTATAAATTGTATACGAACATTGTGGATGTACGTTTATGTATTGAAATATAATAGATATTTATATGACTATTTTAATTATAGACAAACGTATATTTTTAAAAATATGTACATACATATATATATACAATTTATACAATATATATGTATGTATAGTTTTAGTTTTATAATAATAATATTCTATTGCCAATCGTTGTTATTGTTGAGATTGTTATAGTTTTTTTCTCTTTTATCATCGTTTGTTGTTAAATATTTTTAATAATATAAAATATACGTAACTATACGAATATCCATAAAATGTATTTTATTATATCTTTTAATTTTAGTGAGTAATTTTTTAATGGTATCTACTAGTCAGTGTCTTATATAGGTTATTTATTTTTTTATAAATGTGTTATTGAATGTTTCATTAACCAATTTGCTTAAATGCGACAATATTATGGTAGTGCACACTGCACAATGTTCCTTTAAGGTCTCAATACATGAACTTAGTAGACCTACGTTTATAACATCTTAAACCTGGTAGTTGGATGTACAATGTACAATTAATTGAAGCCTATTAAAATATACAGTTTCATTTAATATTATATACATCTATAATAAGGACACAGAAATAAGTATTAAATTTAAATACCATATATTCATTAAATTTGATATTTTAAACATCATATTATTATATATTTATAAAATAGTAATTTTGGACTAAATTATTTTTAGTAGAAACAATTAAATTAGTTTTAATAACAGATAATTAACAGATATTAATTTGATAACTGAAAAAACTTTTTTTTAAATAAAAGCTATTAAAGAAAACCTATTAGAATACAATTGAATAAGATTCCATACACATTTGCTCTGGTGTTTGGTAGATTTCAAGCTACCTAAGTCACAGTGGGGAAATTATTGACTATACGCACCCATTGTTATATTTTTTTAGCATACCTATTTATTTGATCTGTTATTACTTATTACCTACCCACTATGTTCTTCTCCACTAATACCAATAAAAACCAGCAACCGTCTTATTATACGATAAACGCAAAAACAAATCAATTTAACATGATTTAAAGTCGCAAGGCAATTCGTTTATGAAAATTGTGTTGCACATCTTATAAGCACAACTACACAAGAAACTTCACAAGATTTACTATGTACGATTGTACGAATTACAAATACGTTGTAATAAACAATACAGGTAGGAAACTCCGATGAACAATGGGTGATAACTGGAGCCCAGATTTAAATTCCCTAAAAACCAGAGCCTTGCACCTGAATTAACCGGAACCTCTAAAAACCCTTAAAAATCAAACACCTAAAACCCATATAACTCGAATGATTTTGTTTTCAAAACTCCCGAATAAAACATTCTGGTTAGGGGGCTCCAGTCGGTTGTGTTTTAAGGATATTAGTATAGGCAATTTAACATGATAACAATAAAATGACTTGTAAACTGTGTGCAAACTGCAAAGTAAACGAAGATTAGGTATTGTAAGTTTAATCATTTTCGGTCAATATTTCCTAGAAATGTCCTGAATAAGTATAACAGTAGGCCCGCATAATACCGTCCTGTAGGTCGGTCGTTATCTATATTCGCCGTGAATTAACTTACGCACGAGCACTGCGCAGGCATTGACGAAGATTTTAAATTATGGTCAACTTTTTTCAATTTAAAATAATCAATTTTTACTAACACCATAGATAGACAAAACCGGAGGAATTTGGGTTGATGGATTTTAATTTTGAAAACGGATTGTGATTGATTAAAACAGATTGACCGCCCCTTTTTGGGCTCTCACAGTTGAGATATGTGACATACTCGCATGTTAATTTTGACGAAAATTTCAGAGATTGTTATCAGAAAAGTTATTATACAGTAAGTAATATAGGCTAAGTTAAAAAACGTACCGAGTGCTAAATCCAACCCTCGATAATTCAATCACCTATTCAACACGCCTCACAGTGCTGCAAAAATGTCAAACTTTCAACTTTAATCAAAGATTTTTAAAACTACCTACTCCCAGAGTTTGGAGACAATTTTAATTAAAATAACTTGCGGGGGGAGGCACTTATTTAACCTACTTTATTACTCAATACATATAGTAAAACCAATTATTTTAATACAATCATATCCAGTGGAGTACGCAGGATTTTTCAATGGAGAGGGGGCTTGAAAATTAGAAATTTTTATTTTGTCCAGTCTAATGATTTCAGACGTTTATTTAAGGTATTTTAAAATGTTTGTAACTTTTCAACTTTTCTCGATGCCTGGTGGTATGTTTTTGGAAGACAATTGGATGTAGTTGGTACTATTAGGAGGTCGAAATTGAAAATGATCAGTGCTTTTTAAAATAATTAGAGAAAAAAATGAAAATATATTAAAATTGTTTGGTAACCAGCTTGGTTATACCACAGAATAGATTAAATATCTATTCTGTGATTCGGAGTCGGTAAATTGCGTCCCGCAAAAAAGGTCATAGTTATATAATACTGTGTAAATTGCGGCCCGAGTATATTTTATACATACGTAAATTGCGGCCCGGGTATATTTGAAATGTACGTAAATTGCGGCCCGGGATATTCCGATTTCCGGTCGGCTGGTTATATTATCTTTAATATTGATCGATAAGCTCACTTGATGCTCATTAATATAATATTACTAGCCGCCAGTGTGCTGTGTGCATTTGATCGAAATATTTCGCACGAGTTTTTACATTGGTCTACAGTATTTACAGAATTTGGTTTAGTATTTGTATTTTTTTTTTAAATTTAATAACAATGGAAGTTATGAAAAGTGAAAAAAATAAAACGTTGAAAATAGTTGATGGTTTCAAATTTCGTTTTCAAAAACTTCTGAAGAATGATATTCAACGTTGGTGTTGTACAGTCAAAACTTGTAAGTGTTTTTTAAAATTTAATAATAATAGTATATGTATAGATAGCTTTAAAGATCATAACCATCTACAACTTTCGGAACAAATTATAAATCGTCAAAAACTTAATAATAATTTAAAAAGAAAAGCCGTTGATGATATTTTTACAAGGCCATCTAAAATTATTCATTCTGAGTTAAAAAATGCTGATGTCGAATCTTTAACTACACATGACGTAAAATTGATTAAAAGAAATTTACACAATGCTCGAGCTTCTACACTACCAAAATTACCAGACACTTTTTTGGAATTACATAATATTTTTGACAAAATGGAATTCAAAACAAACAAAAATGAAAATTATTCATCCGATCGAAAAGCTTAAAAATGTAATACGGAAGTTTTTATTATAGCCAAAATATTAACGATACATAGGCATCATGGTTTTTTTTTATAATCATTTAAAGTTCAAATTTCGTCAAAACCACAGTTAATTTGTAGTTCAAAACTTATAAAATATTAAATGTGTATAGCTAAGACTAGACAATTTAATACAAAGCCCTTTTATACAAGTAGTTCATACTTTTACCGAAAAATTACAGATAATTTTAGGAAAATTGGTATGCAAATACAATGTTTTTTTAAAAATGAATTCATTCTGGTAAGATGTATATGAAATTGCTTACTATAGTTGACAATTGAAACTTGATAAATATTTTTTTTTCAAGTAATATAATACGGGAAATGGGGGGGCTTCAGCCCGTTGGCCCCCTTCGGACCCCACTGATCATATCATATCTTATCTATATCATAAAATATAGGTAAGTACTTAGTATTATAGGCTGACAAAACATCTTAACTCAGAATTGTTTTTCGTACCTATGCAATGATTTATCATTGAATTCAAATTTAACACAAACATTATATAAAGTGATTTACTCCTTATAATGACGAGGTACACTTGACACCAACTATACAGCAGAGTGGTTACCTAGCTTTTCCTTTTTTTTTTAATTTTTTACCTAACCGAGTATTCATAATTCTATATAGTATTTACTAGAAACAAAATAATTTTCAAAATATCTTGTTTTTTTTTTTGTACTATTTGTAGGTGCAATATACCTACTAATATAAATTTTTGACTTGATTTAGATTATGTTGATATTTACGTAGGTATGTTTGATTACACATAAATACAATTTTTATTTATAGTTACAAAAGCTTAAAAATTCAAAACAATGTAACTTTTAAAGGTTCCTCATAATAATTGCTCACATAGGTAGTAGGTACCTAAAAATTAAGACATATTAAAAACATATACTAACAATATTTTTTTATAAGCGATAAAACTTCAAAGTTCATAAGCTAATTTCATCAAAATCTCCAAAAATACAAATATTTTGTAGTATAAGATTCATAATAAGAAGAATACCTTGAACTCGTTACTCAATTAAATTTTCAAAATATGTAAACCAAATTTAAAATATGTGTAGGCGTTTGAAATTTTCTAGTTTTTTTACATTATCGATAAAAATGTTTAGGCTCAG